TCCCTCACCGCCATCCTTCCCTCTTCCCTCCCCATCAACCTTTCCCTTTCCCACTGTGATCTCCTCCAGAATCTGAAATCCCAAATGCGCATACACGTCCCTACTCCTGGGTGATGTCGACTCCAAGACCACTGGCCAACCTTTTTCCTTTGCCATGTCAAGTACCGGACGAATGAGATCACTCACTTTGGCTGGCATGGTAGCGGAAGGATGACTGCGGTCATTTGCTACCAGGACTAGATGTAGCACGTGAGTTGCTTGAGGTGGTAGAGCGCGCTGCCTTGCGTGGTGGGCCAGTGAGTTAAGTTCGGTTACAGCGGGTGGGTTGTGCGGCTCCGGGGTGTATGTTTCTGTGATTTCTTCTAGTTGCCTGGACCGGTATCAGTGGACTTAGACGCGAGATAAGAAGACTTTTCAACATCCAATCTCTTAAATATGTGACATTTCATGGTCAAATAGGTTTACTCACCACACACTAGCCACACCACTTCCAGGAATTGTGATCATCCTTGCTCCGCCCTTGAGGAAATCCGGTACTACAAATCCAAAAACCTCTTGATTCAATTCAACTCCTATGTCGGTTTTTTCTGATCCTTGCAGTTCATCTAAAAGAATGTAGCGTTGAAACGCATCGTCGTTGAATTGCTTGGCGAGAATTTCGATTGTGTGCTCTAACGAGTCCTCTTGAAGACCGGTGGGAACAGGGATTTGCGACATGATCTGGAGGCCACTAGAACAATGATGGATGTGCGTCGTTGGAAAGTAGATTGTCGAACAATTTTTTTCGGGTGGTGATGCAGATGTAGGTACATGTAGGTTTGGTAGTACTGTAGTGGTTGATGGGGTCGGTCCGAATGGGAGAACGCGCCGGTCCGATATTTGACTAAGTATGACCCGGCTGGGCAATGTATACTCTGGCATGAATAGACGTTATTAGTCTCATCTCAACAACTGCTTCTTTCCACGAGGCTTTACCGGCTCGCCCTTCGGTACTTGTCAAAACGCCGTGGTTTGCTTCAACCTCACGCACAGCGACTGGGCTCGTGGGGTAAGAATTGGGGCATATCATATGCATGTAGATACATCACTCATAGTACGTCTCAAGCTACTTCAAAGAGAAATGTGGTTGGTCTCAAACGAATGAGCCATGCTTCGCCTCCATTGAACGCTATACTATACACGTACATCAAACGCCCGCATATGTTGACACTGAACAAACTCGATACCACCCGTGCCTCAGGATGTTTAGCCTGGAGGGAGCAGGCTGTTATCAACAACGTCCTGTGCCTCCATCTCTTCGACCTCAGCACTGTTGTGGAGCGGGGAACGCGGTAGGGCCATGAGTCCTGTACTCGATTAGCGATTTGGCTATACCGGGATATCCGATCCTGCTTACCGGTCCTTGCAGATTCCAAGATTCCGAAAGGAGCAATCAGCTTCATGAAGGAATCAATCCTGGTGGGCTTTGCCGATACCTCTACGATGCAGTTGTTTGTGCTGATATCGAGCACCTTTCCACCGAACTGATGAGTCATGAAGGTGATGGCGCGCAGATGCTCGTGCTTGTGTCGGAGCGCCTGGCTCACCGGCAGGTTTGTCGGGTGGTAATCTTTCCTCAGAGACTCGCGAGCAGCCTCCTGCGCCATTGCATTGCGCTCCTCATCTGTCATGTCTGGTTCATATGACTCCTCCATGTCAGGCGCCTGGGCCATCTCTCGGTGGTGCGCAAGCAGCTCTTCGAAGTACTCAGGGCCGAGAATAGAGACCTTTGCAAGGAGAAGTTCGCGCTGAACGAGGGGCGATTGGGTGTAGTCCAGCACAGCCCACACTGGGACCAGGTCCTCGAGCTGGCGGCGGGCTTGCTCCACAACACCATCTTGTCCTTGCAGCACAATTGTCATGCGGGAGAGGTCATCCACCTCGGTGTTGCAGACAACCAGACTGTCGATGTTGAAGCCACGGGCGGCCAAGATACCGGAGACACGGGAGAGCACACCGGGCTCGTTTTGTACCAGACAGTTGAGGATGTGACTCTTTGGGGGAGCTTGGGAGGGGAGCGGGGTTTCGTAGAGGATGTTACTGACGGCAGCCGGCGCTGACCAGGCAGGAGGGCGGTCCTCGGTGGGAAGAGGTGCGATGCGACGGTGAAGGGCCTTGTAGGCCAAGGCCTGGGTGGACGAGGAGCTGGATGCTCTTTGTTGCTGGCGGAGGGAGCCGGCGCATTGTCTGTTGAGCAGACTGCGCAGAGGCAGCATTGCCCGCCGAGAAGCCATGACGAACAGGTGGTCACGGGTGAAGGCGGTTGAGGCTGCTTGGTGTCAATGTCCAAGTTGGAGGGCAGCCCCAGAAAGTGAAATAGAATCCCCGGCCGATTGTCGGAGTAGGCGCGAACAGGCAGGGCCAGCCGCGGCACGCTAATAAGCGAGTCGCTCCTGCCAGAGCCTAAGATTCATCTCCAACACCAACAACTACGAGCCTCAACCGCAACCAAGACGTCGACCATCACTACGAGCAACTGCACCATGTCTGACGAACGCCGTCCCCGATCGCGCTTCGACAGCGACGATGGCGAGCGCCCTGCACGCTCGCGCTTCGATACAGACCGTCGCTCTAGGTCGCCGTCGCGAAGGGAGTCCGAGTCGCATCGCGCCCGTAGCCCTGTCGCCCGTGAAGGCACAGACAGCCCTGCATCGTCCAACTTCAAGAACGACGCTGCTGCGAGGGCGGCGGCTGCGGCTGCCAGGATCAACGCGCAGATTCAGGCGAAGAAGGGCATCCAGCATGTCGACGTGCCACCTATTCGCTCTGTATGTCCACTCTACCCATCCATATGCGGCCGTCGCTGACAGACTCCAGGCCGCTACTCCTCCAGTCGCCAAGTCGCCTGCCTCCAACTCCGCAGCGGCCATAAACAACGAGACGTACCAGCAGGATGGTGACTACATCAAAGACATTGAGATCAATGATCTCCGTAACCGCTATACACTGACCAAAGGAGCTACACAAAAGAGGGTAAATAACTGTTTTTGCTGTCCACTGATCGTATAGGATCATGCCTTCTTCATGCTCTGCAGCGCTACGCCTCTGGTGACCGTGTTGCGGGGCTGAAGTTGGTCCCTGTTTGCGCATCTCTCTATGAGAGTCAGAGCTTACTTGATCTTCTAGCGCCCCACCCATCTATCAAATGCTAACCTCCATGTGCCATCTAGATCAAAGACGAGACTGGCGCCGGTACGCATATCCCGATTACAATCGTTAACCCTTTAGAATACCTGCTTATACATGCAAGATGTAACCACTCGCGGAGAATACTACCCTGACAAGAACATGGCAACTGCTACTGTACGTGAGCAAGTCACACATTCATGGGCTATGCTAATCTCGCAACAGAACCCGCCGCTGTACCTCCGTATTACTAGCACCTCCAAAGAAGGCCTGGACAAGGCTGTAGAAATGATCGAGGAGATGATGAAAGAAGACCTTCCTAACCTGGTAGACGAACGTCGCTTCCGTCGTAGGGAGCCCGAGAACTTTGAGCGCGATGAGTTTGGTCGAGTACGATATCCTTGTCAACTCAGCAAACATGTTGCTAACTGTTTCTAGCGCAAGTGGCCCGAAGAGAAGATCTCTGTAGGTCTCGAGCCTATTAGCGGCTTTAACTTGCGCGCACAGGTTGTCGGTCGCGGTGGCGATAACGTCAAATTCATCCAGCAGGAGACAAGCTGCAAGGTCCAGATCAAGGGTCGCGGTTCTGGTTTCATGGAACCAAACAGCGGCCAGGAGAGCGACGAGCCCATGTATCTCCACATCGCGTTCGTACACTGGTGCCAATTCCCTTGTTCGCACTGCTGACAGATTTTAGTGGACCTCGTCCTGAAGGTGTAGCTCAAGCGAAGCAGCTTTGTGAAGAGCTCCTCGAGAAGGTAAAATCGGATTACCACGCGTACAAGGAGCGCCCACCACCCAACCGTTACGGCGACCGAGATGGCTATGGTGGCGGACGACCCGGGTACGGTGGCCGTGGTGACCGTGGTGACCGCGATCGCAGCCAGAGCTACGGATATGGTGGAGGAAGCGGCGGGGGTGGTGGCTACGGCGGTGGTGGCTACGGCAGTCAGGGAGGTCACAACGGTTACGGCGCACAAGAGACTATCATGTCCCCTGCTGCTGCTACACCGACCGCTGATGCCAACCAACAAGCCTTTGACGCGAATGCTGCACAAGCATGGATTGCTTACTACCAGCAAAACCCAGAGGCTGACCCTTATGCTGCGTATGGTGGGTATGCGGCGTATCTCGCACTTCAGCAACAGCAGTACGCTGCGTACTACGGCCAGACTGGTGCTCAGACTGGTTATGGACAGACACAGTCTCCAGCTCCCGGTGCTGGCGCGGCTGCACCACCTCCGCCACCACCTTCAGAACCTGCTTCTGGCTATGGCTCTGCTCCGCCGCCGCCTCCACCAGCTGCATCGCCCTCCAACTACGGAGCGGTCCCCCCACCTCCTGGCTTGTAAGTGTGGAGCAACGACTATGATCTCGCGCTTACGACAGCCTTTCAACTTGACTTGATTGATTCAACCTAGTTCGATTTGCCTTTGCGTATTGACTCACAGTGTGGTGGATTTGGTTGCAAGAGTTCCTCTATCGCTTCGGCGCGTTTAGTTTCTTCATTGTTTGATACGCGCACGGAGCACCGTCTTGGGCACGGTAATAGTCTGCCGATTTGGAGTTGGCACTTTATGCAGGATACCGATGCCATTGCTTTAGTATACAGCTTTAAAATGGTTCAGCTTCTTATCATACCATGTACTTTTGATGATGACTTTGACGTGTGGTTTGATTGGTCGAAGTAGCAGGGGTCGGTCGTTGGTTCCCCATGCCCGGCTCGCGTGCGTTGACCTAGTCTTGGTGTCCATGCCTCGGAGCGAAGTCGCTCGGAATCGTCGCTCGGAGCATTTGAAAATGATGATTCGTACACGCCACAGACAAACTACAGGATGCGGTCGAATATACTTCGCGCCGGCCAAGCAGCCAACTGCAGAGTGAGTATTCTTGTGTGCAATTGGCAATTCAAGCAGCCTTGAAACTCGATGCGACTTTTGTAGTCATCGCCGTCGCATTTCTTCACTGGACGTACAAGTGGCACAGAACGCTGACAGAACTCCAAAGCCTCACCTACTCTCCTCTCTGCGCCAATCGTCCTTCCAAGCACGAAGATGTCTAGCCACGAGCCACGACCCGCCCACTGCCCGTAATGTCGACCTCGCCTCCCGCACCCCACCCTACGCCAAGTTGCTCTCTCGCCTTGAAGAAGTACGGCGCGTACTGGGATCTTCACGACAATTGACTTTGGCCGAGAAGATTCTCTACTCGCATCTTGAGAGTCCAGAGGAGTCGCTTATGAACAACACAAATGGTGGAAGGAACATCAGAGGTCAGGCAAACTTGAAATTGAAGCCGGACCGCGTTGCTATGCAGGATGCCAGTGCCCAGATGGCTTTGTTGCAGTTCATGAGCTGCGGGCTGCCGAGCACGGCGGTCCCTGCTAGTATACACTGTGAGTAGCCCTTGCGAATGAAACATCGTCTAGGCACATACTGACCAAATATATAAGGCGACCACATGATAGTAGTCAGTAGCACCCTCGAGGCCGTACAAGATATACCATGAGCACCTCGCTGATCAGACTTCACAGGGAGAAAAAGGTGCTGACACCGACCTTCCACAATCGATTGCGGGTAACAAGGAGGTTTTCGATTTCCTCGAGTCGGCAGCGAAGAAATACGGAATTGAATTCTGGCCACCAGGCGCTGGTATCATCCATCAGTCTGTGCTGGAGAACTACAGTGCCCCTGGCTTGATGATCTTGGGCACAGACAGCCACTCCCCGAATGCTGGAGGGTTGGGATCAATCACAATCGGTGTCGGTGGTGCGGACGCAGTGGACGCCCTAGTGGATGCGCCATGGGAGCTTAAGGCACCCAAAATTCTGGGTGTGAAGCTCACTGGAGAACTCAGCGGATGGGCTTCCCCGAAGGACGTAATCTTGAAGTTGGCTGGCGAGCTGACCGTCCGGGTATGTGGTTTTGAGTAAAGCGAGATATTCCAGGCTAACGTATGCTTAGGGTGGCACTGGTTTCATCATTGAGTACTTCGGACCTGGTGTGCAGTCTTTGAGCTGCACTGGTATGGCGACTATTTGGTAAGGCTCGTATATAAGCTCCACGCGCATCATAAGTTCTAACACATTATAGCAACATGGGTGCCGAAGTCGGCGCAACTACCTCGCTCTTCCCCTTCTCTCCTGCACACATCCCCTATCTCCAAGCCACACATCGAGGACCGATCGCTGAGGCTGCTCAAAAGATTGCCAATTCACCAATGCAGCAGAACCTCCTCCGTCCCGATGCGGAAGCCGCTTACGACAAGGTTATTGAGATTAACCTCTCAGAGCTTGAACCACACATCAACGGACCATTTACTCCTGATCTATCAACACCTCTTTCGAAGTTCAAGTCAGCAGTGGAAGAGAAGGGGTGGCCACAAACCTTCGGCGCTGGTCTCATTGGTAGCTGCACGAACAGCTCTTACCAGGACATGACCCGATCAGAAGAGATCGTGAAGCAGGCATTGGCAGCTGGCCTTAAGCCCAAGGCGGATTTCTTCATTACCCCTGGCAGCGAACAAATCCGTGCAACGTTGGAACGGGATGAAACCCTCCAGACGTTCACTGAAGCTGGAGGTACTGTGCTGGCGAACGCTTGCGGGTAAGTTTGTCAATATACCTCGATGGACTTCCAGTGCTAACAACCTTAACGTCCTTGCATCGGACAATGGAAGCGTACCGACGACGTAAAGAACGGCGAATCTAACGCTATCTTGACCTCATACAACCGCAACTTCCCCGGTCGTAATGACGGCAACCGAGCAACAATGAACTTTCTGGCTTCTCCTGAGCTCATCACCGCTATGTCGTACTCTGGCTCCACGACCTTCAACCCAATGACTGATTCTATACCGACGCCAGACGGCAAGCCTTTCAAGTTCACGCCACCAAAGGGCTCTGACCTCCCCTCTGCCGGTTTTGCAGACGGTAATCCTGACTTCATGCCTACACCGGGTGTCCCAGACCCTAGCGTAGATGTTATTGTCTCACCCACCTCTACCCGCCTGGCGCTCCTAGATCCGTTTCCAGCATTCCCTGACTCCGACTTCACAGGCCTAAAGGTACTGTACAAGGTCAAGGGACAATGCACAACAGACACCATTTCGGCTGCTGGACCATGGCTCAAGTACAAGGGCCATCTGCCCAACATCTCTGAAAACACACTTATCGGCGCTGTCAACGCGCAGACAGATGAAGTCAACGTCGCCTACGACTTAGACGGCAAAACATCAGGGATCCCAGAATTAGCAAAGAGGTGGCGCGATCAGGGCATCGAATGGCTCGTCGTAGCAGAGCACAACTACGGTGAAGGCTCTGCACGTGAACATGCTGCCTTGCAACCCCGGTACCTTGGTGGTCGTGTCATCCTCGCCAAATCCTTCGCCCGTATCCACGAGACCAACCTCAAGAAGCAGGGTATCGTCCCTCTGACTTTCGCCAACGAAGCCGACTACGATGCGTTCGAAGCTTGCGACGAAGTCGCCACAAGGGGGTTGTTGGACGTACTGAAGAGCGGTGGTAAGGGCGAGGTTGAGCTTGTCCTCAAGAAGAAGGATGGTAGCGAGAAGGTTGTCAAGACCAGGCACACTCTATCGCAAGATCAGTGTGGCTTTGTGCTTGCTGGTAGCGCACTGAACCTTCTGGCCAGAAAGGGTAGGGAGATGAAGGAGGAAGTCACTCGGAGTGCCGAGCTAACTGACTGAGTCGTGTGCAATAAGTTTGGATGTGTAAAAGTGAGCATGTAAATGGCGCTATTGGTGTCACGGCGCATAGACGATCCTAGCAACAACAACCTTTATTTCAGGTCAGATGTACTATCCTTGATGAATGACTTGCGAAGTGTGATAGATGACGGGCTGCTGCGAAGCTTTAATGTTCTTCTATGCCTTCCCACCAAGCAAAAACTCATGTCTAGCAAACCTCACCAGTCCACTCACTCCATCGCTTCTTACACAAGAAGAATGCAACTAACAACACATTGAGAGCATGATACAAAAAAAAAGGCAAAAAAGCATCTCGGGCGGGGCTCGAACCCGCAGCCTTTGGATTAACCATGGATACAGTTAGTAGAAGTCCAACGCGCTACCATTGCGCCACCGAGACCGTCAAGCGGAAATAGAGACTTCTGGCAAATTTCTCAAAATTGATAGATTATATATCACTTGTGTTGTGCTTAGAAGCACCACGTAGATGGTCATCAAGTTCGGTCGAGTGAAGTTTCCTTGCGAAGGCTGCCACGTCACACGCCAAGTGGGGTATGCAGACGTGGTTCTCCTTGTCCGATTCAGGCATGTTGTACCGAAGCAAAACCAACGTGTGTGCGATGTTAGCACGACCAAGCTTACTTCATCGCTACTCATGGTTCTAACATCGGTATAATTCCTTGAGCTTCAAGGCAATCATTACACATATCCTTTTATACGCTTCTAGCATCACGATACAGTATGTCCTAGTGCTCGGCGAATCATCAGCTGAGCTCGCACGCATTATAGGTATTCTAGTCTGCTTAGTCTAGTCGCCATGAGCTCGCGGTTGATGGGAAGGTCAAGCAACTGGTATCAAGACTCCCCAATCTTCTGAACCATCTCTAACAAGACCTCATCCGTCAGTTCTGACCTAGTTTCATCGTCACTCTTCTTCCGCTTCCACACCTCCTGAAGCTGTAGGCGGTTTGACTCCCAACTGACCCATGCAGCAGCTTGTAAGAAACAGTCTGTGATATCATCCAGCTTCTTGAGTTGACCTTGTGTGGGAAGTGGCTCTGTTGAGACTCTTTTAGCTTTCTTAGGCTTTCTTGACTCTAGTGGTCCGCACAGCGCTTCACGGGTAGCTTCGGCGCCTGGCGTTATGCTGAACATTATGCTTGGTATCGAATCGCGTGTTACAGATGCTGTGGAAGCAGGTGTTGAAGTGAGCCATGAGCGAAGGAGAGCGATCTTGGCTTGTTTCTCTGCCTTGGTTCGACTGGGCTTCTTTTTTGCAACTGACTTGTCTCCTTCCTCTCCGCTTCCCGCTTCTAGACCATCCCTGGATCTATCGGTCTTCTCGTCCATTTCCGGAGAGTTCCTAGTCGCCCGAGTGAGCCAGTATTGTCCCACACGTTTCGGATCTGCACTGAAGACCTCGTACACGTTTCCTGTACCCAATGCTTCAGCTCCCCCATTCAGCCGCTCTGCATTCATAGTTTGCAGTACCGCCCACAACATGCCTTCTAAGGTGTTGACGCGGAGAGTCCACTGTTGCACTGCACTGCTACCGCCAGATCTCCACCTCTGCTTCTCTATCAAGATGATATCTGGTGACCCTGTCAGAATGGTGTTCCTGAACAACCCATACGCTGTCTTGGACAAAGCATCCACAGAGTATGGGTCTGACTCTTCATCAGCACTCGCCGTATCTTGCTCTGTAGTTGTAACTTCTGATCGTTCGTGAATGTCATCATGTGTGGCTTCAGTAAGATTGATCTTTTCCCATCTAAGAATCTCCATTGCCGCATCTAGGCTATTCGTGAACGGATAGGAAACTTCTGCCTCACAGAACGCCAGATTCTTGATTCCCATATCGATGCTCATGATGCGGAATTTCTTGCTTGCGGACTCTGATGTTCTCCATGGTGATTGGCTGTCAGGAAGTCGAGGCTTTCCGATAACGCGTTGGAAACGCTCTTGGAGTACTGCCTTTGTTCCTGATGATGGTGCGCCGATATGTACGAGTAGTGATTGCAGCGCTTTCGCCGTTATAGCGCGGGATTTTGGTGCCATTGGCACTGACAGCCTTTTTTCGTCGTTCCAGGGATTGAGCAATTCAGATGGTCCCCAGAAAAGTATTCCATTGACTTAGGCGTACGGAGACAGAGAAAAGCGTACTAGGCATCGTAAACCGTGATGCGTTGATAGAAATATGCAAGATGAGCAGCGAAGACCGAACAAATGTAGTCATATCATCATATCCTGGACTTCATCGTGTGAGGATGTGTTGGCGGAGAAAGTTTGTGGGTGGAAAGATGGGGAAAAAAGTCGCAGTAGACATGTCTTGATTTAGCGTGGAGCGTATCCACGTGACGCGGTCACTGAAACTACAAACTTCAAGTTCAAATACAAGTTTGTTGTGTCAAGAACAATGTGTCTTGTTCTTCCGGGGATATCATATCGTTATCATATTCCTAACACTCATGCGCTCAATGCAGCATAAGCCTCCATCTTCCTAAAGCTAGTACCAAACTCGGTCCCCATACACTACGAAATGACCCATCTCTTTTCCTCGGCTACCCTTCGCAGATGAGATCAAAGTCTGGGAAGTCTGGATCAGGCCCGATATTTGTACTCGCAACTGCACTATTAAAGTCCTTGACTTGCGCGTTCTTCTGCGCATCGTTGCACTTATCTATCAAGAATGTTAGCTATGCTTGCGCTCTTCACAGTCGACTTCCTCCCAAGTCTTAGAAACGGAAGAAAAAGCTTGACTCACTTTTCTGCTCGTCACAGTCGTTCACGCTCAGACCGCTGCCATCCTGCCTCTTCTTCCCCTTCTTCCCCTTGTCGCCACCTCCTCCACTCCTGTTTGCAGTATCACTACACCCTTTAAATTGATTATCGCAACTTCTCTGTGCCGCAGTATCGAAACTGGTAAACGTATCCCCGTCGACTTGGAACGGACGTTCTTTGTCTCCAGAATTTGTGATGGCGGATGCACGCGTCCCACCAAGGTTGCCGTCGAAGGTCTGCAAGTTGGACAGTTGACGAAGGAAGAGTTGATGGCGGGGTACCAAGGACATTTCCCAGTCTGAGGAGATGAGAGCGGGTTGTGGAGATGCGTGGGAAAGGGCGGGGAGTGCGAGATGGATCAGAGCAAGGAGAGCTGTGGGGAGAAACATGATTGCGTATTAACCGTTCCCGGTTGAGAAGTATGCTTGAGGATGATGTGCCGGGCGTGGTTCCTGTCCGTCGAAAGACTGCCGGACGTGAATCTCGCCGTCAATGAATCCTGCCTAGACGGAACGATGGCGGTGCTCAATGATATAGCCGGGCGTAAAAGTTATCGGTAATGATTCTTGCCGGTACTCGAAAATGTCGGTGTTTAAAGATGTTGCTGTGCGTGAGAGAGGACGGTACTGATTATCGCTAGGCGTGAAAAATGTTGTACGTAAATCCTCCTTAATTCCAGAATCGGTAAATATCCTATTAGAGTATATCGGCACTGCCTGTATATACAAAGAAGTAATCGCAGCCAAATGAGTGTGAATATCGAACAGTGTTCAAGGAGAAACCCAGAGTAAAAGACCAAATCCCAGCCTCAAAACACCCACTGGGGTCAACTGCATCTAAGTAACGCCAAACCCCTCCATCTCCGAAGCGCCGAACATGCATTTCTCATGCCAAACGAGTTTGGGGCCCAGCGGTCACAAAGCTTGTTTAGGAAGCATCGTGGTGGTTGCTGCGACAGTGCTGAAACACGACCATGGCCAAACCCCTGGACACGCATGACATGCGCACACGTAGACATTCGAAGGGAAGAACAACACCCTGTATGAGAATAAAGGAGCGCATGAGAGTAATGATGTAATAGATGAATGATTTTGACAATCTGATCGAATTCGCTATGGGGGGGTATGACTATGCTAAAACAACAAAAGAAGGCAAGAAAGACATGCCACGCTCGATTACAACAAGTTAAACAGGTGAACGAAGCAAGTGCGACGACACTGACAGGACGAAAAAAAAAATGCTTGGACGAAAGTGGCCAGCTATCTCTTCCTGAATTGATGGTATACGTCTAATCTACATGTGTGCAATCTTGTACAGACTGACCACGATGCGACGGTATACACTAATCTGCATCGCGAATCAGCACCTGTGATGCACCATACTCACGCAAACCATATTCAGTAATAAAGCACCACCTCCAGATCCGACTATTAAAGCCGTGTTTGCGCCGTATGTACAAGCTCCATATTGCTCTCGTCTCTCAAAATCGTTTCCAGTTCAGACAAATTCCGCAGATAGTCGTTGGTATCATAACGGACCCTCGCAACAGGCCTATGTACTTTTTGCGGGCTGAGCTTCGCCTAGAAGTTAGCAGCCGCATTGGGGCGTCCTCCAGGGTTGTGGTATTGCTCGAGGTTCGACTGGAAGGGCGACGATCCAGTGCCGTTCTGTGGCTTGTCACCAAGGGCTGAGCCAGTGCCGGCCATGAGGTCATCGTCGTCTTCGTGGACACGTGCTTGACGCTTCTTCATGCGCCAGAAGACGAGAGCGATACCACCGAGGAGGAGGGCACCGCCTACACCACCGACAACGCCTCCAATGACCTTCTTGTTGGAATCGCTGATGCCGCCGCCATTGTCGCTGTCGCCTGCCTGTGCAGTAGGTGGGTCTGTGACAAGGGCTTGCCCAGTGGTGGCAAGGGAAGTGCTGGTGCCTGTCGAGGTTGCAGTGGTTACTTGGCCATTCTCGAGAGTCGAGGTGACGGTCGTGGTGTACTCTGAAAGGGAAGTTGAAACGAGAGGTGTAGTCCTGACAACCGCTGTTGTCCTTACGGAAGAGCTGGCCTCCCGGGTAGGGGTTGCTGAGTTACCAGCGCTCCCGCCACCACCGGTCGCACTTGTGCCTTCTGCAGACGTTCGGGTGTTGTCGTTGTTATTGTTGCTATTGTTGTTGTTATTGTTGTTACCGCCATCGGTAGTTGGTGTTGCTGCAGGAGTCGAAGCCGGAGGAGCGTCAGGTGTGGGGTCATCGGAAGGTGCTGGATTGTTCGTGGTTGAAGGTTCTGGCTGAGGAGTCGCTGACGTCGCTGGTGGTGCGGCTGACGATGTGGCAGGAGGGGCGGCGGATGAAGCTGGCGGGGCAGCTGATGACGTTGCGGCTGCGGGGGATGCTGAAGAGGCGCCGGTGCCTTCGGCGTCTTGCCTCTTGCCCTGGTGGATGTACTGATTGATGCCGTCCATGTGAAGATCCTCTAGCGTAAAGGCCGACGATGCGACAGTGAGGACAAAAACCGACAGCCAGGCCTTGGGCAACATGTTGCGCGGGTTGTTGAAGGAAACAGACAGAGAGTGGTAACTGGTTTTTACTCTGGAGCTGACGCGCGTTTCACGAACAGGCGATTAGTTGTATTAAGGGGGGGCGATACGGGTGAAAGGCGCGTAGGCTCCTGTAGTTATGTGTATGTATATATCAAGCGAATAAACGAGGGCACGAATGTGAAGTGACAATAGAAGACTGAGCGAGTGTCGAACCGGAAGCCGGTGGATGTGCTTGCTAAGGTGACGAGGAGAAAGTGGAGCGACGAGTGATCACGTCTACACCCAAATTTAGGTCCGGAGAGCGCACTAAGCCGGACCCGACGCCCTGCAGCGCACTCAGCCGCCCACAAGGGTTCTAGAGCTTTGACAGACAGACCCTCTAAAACGGCCAGCAACAGACGAGTCATTTCCCCTTCGAAGACTTTGCATAATCAATCATGTTGACGGTGAGTAGTCTGAGCATGCAGTGGCTCCATGGCTTTGGCGCGTGAATAACAGTGTTGCGTGTCCTTGTATAAGCCACCGCCTTCAGTCTTGTGCCACGCTTCACAAGAGTTCAACACCCTACAGTGCAAGCCAAGCGCGTTCCGTAAACATGTCTACAGCCAATTGTCCAAGTCCAAACATTCTTCATAGAAAGCCTCGCGGGCGCGCCTCGGGTTTTAAAACAAACCATGGCAGTGCGCATCGCAAAGTCTAGGCAGTCCAGGAAAACCCCGAATGAAAAATGTGCATCCTCAACAGAAACGCCAGCAATTTGCCATAGGCATACATGACCCCGAATCCCGTACTACAGCACTACTAGCCCACACTGCTGCTTTTTGACCCTTCCCTCGTCTTCAGCCTGGTCGCATGGTGCCTTACAAAATCACCAAATACCATTCGTCAACAATCTTTCCAATCTGCTACTTCGGTTCCCGTCTCCACTTCCTAAGAGGCTACCTCGGCTGGACTGGGCTGCTTCCGGCATTCCCTCCGTCTGGACCTGCGTCATATCGTCAAGCCTTGCTGCACGATTTCCTGCACGCCCTTGTAACAGAAGAAAACTATTATTGTGTCTACTTGTATAGGTCGCACGACGCGCTGTGTGGGCAAATACCGTAACGCACCATGCTCGCTGCAGTCATGTCTCATCACAGTCTGCCGCTGACTACTCACGAGGCGCTGTCGGGTGTCTTCGGCTCAATCTCGTTAGCTTCATGGATCTTCCTGTTGGTGAGTAACAATTGATACAACCTCGTTGTCCTCATCTCCCTAAACATGGGTGGCTTTCGCCATGTATCTCTGATACTGCCTGTGCTATTCGTGGAACCGCAACTAGATCTTCGGGCACGCGACACCATACATCGCCGTACTTTAATCTAACAACCAACTGCAGGTCCCACAACTAATTGAAAACTACAAATCTGGCTCTGCAGATGGCATCTCCCTCGCCTTCCTTGCCGTCTGGTTCATTGGCGACGTGACGAACCTCGCGGGGGCTCTCTGGGCCGGTCTCGTCCCTACCGTCATCGCCCTCGCCGTCTACTTCTGCTTCGCAGACCTCGTCCTCATCTCGCAATGCGTTTACTACAACATGAAAAACTCGCGCCGTGGCGATCGCAAGACTTCCACGCAGTCTACCAATAGCATCGAGGCGCCTTTGCTCGGTCGCCGCGACAGCAGCAACGTTGGCTTGCCTGGCAGTCACAGGCGCGATTCTGCTGCGAGCCGCAGGCGCCGCGCAAGCTCTCTCCCTACAATCCCCGATGTCGGTGACGGTGCCAGTGAGTGGGTAAAGAACGCGTTGAGCATCGCGGGAGTCTGTATTGTCGGCGCAGCGGGATGGGCTATCGCGTGGAAGACCGGTGTTTGGGTCCCGCAACCCCAGCACAACACCGAGGATGCCTCGGACAACCCGGTCGGCGCAATGATCTTGGGATACGCGAGCGCAGTGGCTTATCTTGGGGCGCGCATCCCTCAAATCATCAAGAACCAGCGGGAGAGGTCTTGCGAAGGCTTGTCGCTGCTCTTCTTCATGTTGAGTTTGCTGGGCAATGCTACCTATGGCGCAGGAGTAAGTCCACCCACCTTGTTACTCATAGCTAGAAATACCTGACTAACATCACACAGATTATCTTCCATTCGCAGGAAAAGGACTACATACTCACCAACCTCCCTTGGCTCATCGGCTCTCTCGGTACAATGGTCGAAGATGTGACTATCTTCGTCCAATTCCGCGTTTTCGGTAACGGTGAGGCATCTTCTGCCCTTGAGGCTTGATGCGTTCTGCTGCGTCCATAAACGATCATTCGTGTCTTACGGTTGGCGTTGTTGTATCTACCGCTGGATGACGGTATGATCTACTAAAAAGTTTGTGTGTGTACGTACTTGCATCATCAGTTTTGGATACCCAGTACAAAAAAAAGAGACCTGTGTTTGAGCGCCATTGGCGAGGTAATGTTGTATCATGAAGCTAGATTTTGTTCACCAATCTAAAGGATTAATTACATACTATAGTCAGTCGTCACGACGTTGCACATCATGAAGTTCATGCAGAATGATACATTGATGTGCTGAAGACAGAACCTTGACAGACTCCCCATGGGGTATATTTGACCCCTAAGCAGTCTATAAGCGCCAGAAGAGACATGAAATAAGATCCATAGCTTCTACCATATAAGCCCCGTTCCATAATGTCGAAAGAACTGTCTACTTAGCATGGCTGTACTTTTGCTCGTGAACACCGATGGCACTGTGATATGTTAGTCTTGCATCTAGCACAACATGAAGAGGGAAACTTACCGTCCAGAAGGATCCGTCTGGTTGCTCCAGGTAGGTGTCCATCGCATGACAGTATCGGCACAGTAGCTGGGGAAGTGCTCGTCAAACATGCATCTGTACCAGTATGCCTCCTTAGTATCGGGGATGTCGTTACCCCACTCCTTCTTTGGGTTCTTCATCATCTCGTCGGTGACGTGTAGCTCGGCGTTGTCCTTGAGCGCATCGATCCATCCGTAGCCTACACCGTCAGAGAACTGCTCCTTTTGTCTCCAGAGGATCTTCTCGGGAAGGTAGGGCTGCGTCTCTGGCTCGTCGGTTGTGTCGAAAGCTTTGCGTAGGATGTATTTTTCAATACGGCCGGCTTCGCGATCGATAATCTTGTCCTGAGGATCGATGTTCATTGCTGTGTTAAGGAAGTCCTTGTCGAGGAAGGGCACACGCGCCTCAACACCCCAGGCAGATGTTGACTTGTTGGCGCGAAGACAGTCTGCGAGATGAAGGTTCTTGACACGGCGGATACATTCTTGGTGGAAAGCAGCTTTGTCAGGTGCGTTGTGGAAGTAGAGGTATCCACCAAAGATTTCGTCACTGCCTTCTCCTGAAAGAACCATCTTGACTCCCATAGCCTTGATCTTTCTGCTGAGAAGGAACATGGGTGTTGAGGCGCGGATAGTTGTTACATCGAAAGTCTCAAGGTGGAAGATGACATCTGTAAGTGCGTTGAGTCCATCTTCGATAGTGAAGGTGAATGTGTGGTGCTTGGTTCCGAGGAAGTTGGCCACTTCCTGCGCAGCGATACCATCGGGAGAGTTGGGCAAGCCGATGGAGAAGGAGTTGAGCTGTCCTAGGAGCAGATCTGTCTGGAGCTCGTTGGAGTCATCGATACCGACAAGTTGGTTCTGCTGTTCGCTGGCGTTGCCAGTAGACGCAGCAGCCTTCTTTCTTGTCGCCTCGTTCAACCGCAGAGTTTCCCGCTGAGCGATCGAAGCCACCAAACTTGAGTCAAGACCACCAGAGAGAAGAACACCAAAGGGAACCTCCGCCATCATGCGTTTCCGCACCGATCGCTCCAATGATTGCCTCAGCTCCTTGTAGTCTACAGGTTTTGTAGGAATGTTCTCGGGCTCGACGAGCCACTTGGGGTCGTAGTATCGTGTGAGCGAGTCTGTCTTCGAGTCGTAGACATGACCAGGAGGGAACGAGATGATGTTGTCGCAGACGGGATGTAAGCACTTCAGCTCAGAAGCGAAAAACACGGCGCCTGGTGTAGTGCTCGATCGACCCATGTAGAAGGTAGTGATGCCAATGGGGTCGCGTGCTGCGATCACACGATCTTGAGCCTTGTCGTGAAGGACCCATGAGAACATGCCGTCGAGTTTTCGGGGAGCGTCGATGTCATGTTCAAGATACTGCCGCCAGTCAGCCTCTCTCCGCCGTAAAACATGTTCCAGGTCTTACCAGAGGAATGATAACCTCGCAATCTGAGTGTGTCTTGAAGTTGTATGGGTTCTTGAGGGACTTGCGGAGAATTCGGTGGTTGTAGATCTCGCCGTTGACAGCCAGAGAGACGGTTCCCTCATCGTTGACGAGCGGCTGAGCGCCAGAGTCTAATCCGTGTAAGCTTCCGTCAAAAGCAACGATTTCTGTGTGACTCCTTACCGACGCCGACAATGCTCAAGCGCTCGTGTACCAGAACTGTTCGTATTTAGTACTGTATATGCCTAGAGGCTCTTACAGTCACTCACTGGTGTCGTTCGCAACCCAGTTACCAGCTGCAAAGTGTCAGTCATCATGTACTTGATCGCACAGAGAGTTATCATGATGCTTACACCAATCTGGACCTCGGTGGCTTGTCGATCAGTCAGCATAGAAGTCCTTGTGGTGAATTTGGCTAACTGAGGGTTTAGGCGGATTTACACACCGGACACTGCGCGCAGTTAGTCAATTGGAAACTCTCACAGGTTATGGGGGGTGGACTTACGCCTTGCCCATTTTCAGGGCAGTCGGCTTGAACTTTTGCACATCGGGGTGCCTGTGGGGAAGTTAGTCATGTATCAACATAGTCGCAAACACCTGGTGTTGAAGCAATGCAACGTCTGGAGGGGCAATTGCGGGCGCAGGACGGGTGTAGCATACCTGTAGCAGGCGAAGATACCACACATCTTTACTGCTGGATTGGTTTGGAAGGGGAGGGAAGGCAATGTCAGAGCGAAGAGGGGAGATCAGGGACAGCCTTTATCGTGGCTAGAAATTATTATAGAGTCATATCGCCCGCCCGAAGTCGCCGCAGGCCAGCTTGCGCCCCACATTTTCACTGCCAACCCCGAGCGCGTTCAGACCGCGGGATTGGCAGTATCCACTATCTTGTACTTGTAAGGATATGACGTTGGGAACCGTGGGCAGTCCGTGACTCCACAAGTTTGTTCGCACTCGTTTTGTGCATGCTCAAACGCAACCCCACAACTGCCATGGAGGAGTCGCATCTTCCTATTGGCCAGTGCACTTGCGAACATCGCCGTAACTAGAGAGTCACCACGCGACACGGTCAGGGTGCAAGGCGAAATATACGTAGACATTATCTGTGTGTTTAACAATTTCAAGACTTTGCAGCTCCGAATTATGTAGCTGTTGATACATGGATACTTTCCATACCAATGTGTTTATGCCTCCCAAGCAGCTGCTACTCCGTATGCGTAACCAACGACAGACCCTTGTCCAAGCAAGAAATACCCAAATGGGAAAGAAATGCACCTATCCATCCTTTCGTCCAGCGCCATACTACCGCCCTATTTCTTCGTCTTCGCGTGTCGAAAGATGCCGTCTGACTCTCCACTGTCTCTGTGCATTGTAGATCCGGGGTCGCAAACGGCGCACGGTGATTTTACTGGTACTCTCATAGAATGTGTTATGGGAAGGCGCTTAGAAGAGGAAGTAAGCAATCAGGAAGCTGATGAGGCACAGAAGGGCTGTGATCTGGACAGACACACCGCCCGCGGGGGCTTGCTGTGTGCTTAGCGAGGACGATGTTTCTTGCTTCGAGTCCTGCGCGGATCCTGTCTTTCGCTGGCGGAGACCGGTCGCCTCGCTAACTTGCTGTGTCAATCGCGCAATCTGCGCCTTGGCTTCAGCAAGCTGAGCCTCGACATCGCTCGAGGATGGTAGAGCATTAGAGACGGTTCCAGCGGCAGAGCTGAAGCTCGACTGCATGTTGCCGCCCGTTGCTGGGTTGTATGTCTCGTTCCTAATCTCTCCCAAGTTCTTGCTGTCTGATGGGCGGTCCTGGGGAACGGAGACAGGCCCCGAAGCGTCTGACACGCCACGCTGGGGAGTCACGGCCTCGGGTGACGGAGAGGAGAGCATCGAATCGCGGCTAACACCGTTGGTTCTTGCGGGAGTTGCGCTGGAGGAGGCATCGTCGGGAGCGAGGAAGAGAACCCTGATCTTTTTCTCTTGAATGGAAGACTTGGCGGTTTGCTCAATGTGCGACCACTGCAAGCAGTTGTTAATATGCATCGACCTGTTGCTGTTGGTCCAGAACATACCAGAGATCCAACGTTGGTGAACTCCTTGTCTGCGGTGACGAGTACAGATTGCACCAGGAACTTGTCGCGGCATTTCGCATCTGGCGGTGGGTCCTCCTTCATGGCTTGGAGGAGAACTGGGCGCATGCGTTAGTTTGCTGCAGTCTTCCAAGGGATGCGCGCATGGAGGGCATGCATACTCTGAACTTCGACATCCTTGCCAGGCTCGATGCGTCCGCTGTTCGGTCTCACGCAGTATCTAAAGCACCCGTTATTAGCTGTTGTGGGGGAGAGGTGTCGCGGGCGTCGTACTGCTTGGGGGCCGTGGTTTTCACCTTCCATGTGTCAGCTGCTAGTCCAAATTTCACAGTCTAATCCAGCAATTGATAGAGAAGCCTGCTTACCTTGAAGGCGATCGGGTCAGAGTGCGGGTTCTTCAAGCGGAGGGTCTGCGACACCTCGTGCTGAAAGGGTCCTGGCTAGATTAGTATCCTTGTGGCCCCAATGCTGCATGCGAAGCTTACGCTTGAAACCAAGCTCTACGGGGTCGAGCTCGACGGACATGGTGGACGCGCGTAAGCTGTAGGTATGCGGTGGTGATTGTGTCTTCCAAGGTTGGTAATCGGATCCGCGGTACGGGGTAGAGTCGCGATGAACCTCGGGAGTCTTGGAAAGGGGGGCGGGCGCGTGGAGTGAATCTAGAAGCTAAAATCCCGGGGATAGAGTGCGCAAACGGTGAATATCGAGGCGGGTGTGAAACTGGGTGGTTGCAGATGGTAGGGAGGAAGGGCGGATGGGTGAGGACAAGTAGCTATGACGTCCCGCGACGCCTCTTGATTCTGGAATCCCGAGGTGCCTCTAGTGTCCACCTACGCAAACAATCACAGCCGGCAAGCGTCACTCACTGTCTAGAAATCATACAATATCTCATCAAAGAGACAGTGACTGTCTGATCTCCCTTCTGTCAGAGTAACATTGTATTGCTAAGACTAGGCGCGTCTGATCTACGGTTCATCTTCTCCAAGGTTCCACCGCTACCGCCGCCGCCTTACATCCACATTCCATATAAAGCGAGAGCCTCCTCCACTACAATCACTTCTCACATCGACTTGCTAATAAACTACAACCTTGTCGAATCAAGCACCCAAATCAAGGCACTCCAAAAAGAAAAAGAACCCCCGAAACTTCTCACAACTTCGACCCTCGTCCTACGCCGCATTCAAAATGGCCTCCTCAGATCTAGATACCCTCATCGACATGGGCTTCCCACGCGAACGCGCGGAACTCGCTGTTAAAGCTACTGGTGGCCTCCAGCCTGCCATCGACTGGCTCGAGACCAACCAAGACAAGTCTATCGATGACATCAAGCAAGAGCAAGCTACCGCCGCCGCCAATGCCTCAGAAGAGCCTCCCGCGCTGCAGCCTGGCGAGGAAGCCAAGTCCCTCGTTTGCGATGAGTGCGGCAAGAAGTTCCGCTCAGTAAACCAAGCCCAGTTCCACGGTGAGAAGACCGGCCACGAGCAGTTCTCCGAATCCACCGAAGAGATCGCTCCTCTCACAGAGGAACAGAAGGCGCAACGACTACAAGAGCTGCGCGAGAAGCTGGCGGCCAAGCGCGCGATGCAGTCAGAGCAGGACAAGGAAGACCATAAGAAAAACGAGCAGATCCGCATGAAGGCCACAAAGGAGTCACAGGACATTCGAGAAGAGTTGCAGAAGAAGGAGCGCTTAAAGGAAGCTGCTGCCAAGCGCGCAGAGAAGAAGGCAGACGAGGATGCGAGAAAACGGGTTTTGGCCAAGCTCGAAGCAGATAAGCAAGAGCGAAAACGCAAAGCTGAGATCGAGAAGGCGAAGCGCGCCGGCCAGGCTCCCCCCGCCGCTCCTGTACAAGCTCCTCTGGCTACATCCTCCGGTCCCACTACCAGCAAGCCTGCGAGCGCGTACACTGAGGCACGATTGGCCCTGCAAACACCTGGTGGGAGGGTCATGAAGAACTTCCCTGTAGAGACTACGCTCTTCGAGGTGGCACATGCGCTGGAGCAGGATGGCATCAGCGTCTCAACGTTTACTACCAACTTCCCCAAGAAGACGTACGATCGCAGTGACTTTGGCATGACTCTCAAGGAAGCGGGTATGGTACCTAGCGCGGCTTTGATCATCGGATAGAGTACAGTGACTGTTGTGCTGTCAGATGATGATGGGTATGAGATTTCATGAAGTGGCGTTGAGGTATCGGTGGTGAATACCCCAGAAGAGGATACATGGAGTGGCGTTGATGTATGTTTCGGCAACTGAAAGCCAGACTGTAGATGATATAACGACCGATGAACCATGAGATACATAAGTCACAGACGTAGATCAGGTCACGTATCTTAGCGCCTACTCATGCTAATCCGAACACACGCCAGTATCCATCCAGTGCCGTCACGATGGAACACCTCAATCGTACTCGTCAATATCATATCTCCCCGCCTCCCTTTGTGTACTACACCACTCCTCACTTGCCAACCCACCTTCCTTCCGTCTCACCAACGCCTCCGCATCCTTACACCAATCGCATGCAAAGTCACACTCGGGCGTCTCCTCATCGGCAAAGTACGCAGCGATAAGTTTGTGTCGACACTTGTCCGTCGCCTCACAATAGCCAACCAGTGCCTGTAAGCTCTTCGCACGATGCATCATCTGTTGCTGCTGAGCCTGTAATCCCGCCCCTTGTTTGGGCTGTCTCGCAATATCCCTCGACAGCGAATGCGCAGCGCGATCACGATCCTCGCGGCCGTAATACAAAATGCAAATTGATGCTTTGCCGTCTCGTCCTGCACGCCCGGCTTCTTGGTAGAAGCCTTCAAACGACTTGGGAATTTGCCAGTGGACTACAAAGCGCACGTTTTCTTTATCAATACCCATACCAAATGCTGTTGTGGCGACGACGACATCGTAGCCGGCTTTATTGGCTACCCAGCCTGAAAGTGCGTCTGCACGTTCTGAAACGGAGAGACCTGCGTGGTAGGGCTTTGCGCCTATACCGTCTGAGCGGAGACGAGCGGCGAGAGACTCGCAGTCTTTGCGGAATAAAGTGTAGATTATGCCTGGTACATTGTCTGAACGTTGGTTCTGTGAAGCTAGTTGAGAGGCACGCTCAGCGTTCTCGGCACGGCGCGCGTGGATCGATTTAAGAATTTTGATGAAATCATCATAGTGGTCTTCTTCGTCAGATTTGAAGCGGACTTCGTAGTGAAGGTTCGGTCTACTGGTGCTCATACGAAACATTTTTAGCTTCTTCGGGTCCAAGGCGAGCGTAGTGATGATATCGTCTCTAACACGCGCTGTTGCCGTTGCTGTCAAACATATGACTGGTACATCAGGAAATTCCGTCTTGAAGAATGACAATTGCTGAAATGAAGGTCGAAAGTCATGCCCCCATTCACTAACGCAATGGGCTTCGTCGACGGCGATACGAGCTAATTCCCCTTGAGCGTGAATAACTCGTAGGATCTTGCGAAAGTTGTCTCCTTGGCAGAACTCAGGTGTTACATAGAGCAAGCGGGTCATAGGATGGCCACATTGAAGGTCGGATATGATCCTCTTTTTGTCTGCGGGTGGTGTAGTGCTGTTGATTGTCTCAACACGGATGTTGGCGTTGCGCAGAGAGGCGACTTGGTTGTTCTGATAGCTAGTCAGACTCTATACTGCAATGGAACAGTGAAGAACATACCATCAGTGCTAGCAGTGGAGATATGACGACAGTAACTAGCAACATTAGCAACACTAAAATCTCTCATCTTGTTTAAACGTACTCCCAAAGTCCACTACCGCTGGCAGCTGATAACACAGGCTCTTTCCGAAGGAGGTTGCTGCCTGAAGGAAGACGTCTTCGCCCTCTAACGTAGCCGTGACAACCTCGCGTTGTAATGGTCTGTAGAATAACTTAGTACGAGCAAGCATTCATTAGGTGAGTGGCATACCGGAAGCTTGCCTTCTTGAACACCTTCTTCAACGTAAAGTCAAGGTTCGAGTACGGTCGTTTCCTCTTGCCAGCCATGACTCGTGACATGAGGTACAAAGTTCAAGACAAGGGGGCAGAAGGGTCAAGGGAGTTGAGTTGGACTTTTCACCGCCCGTGTGGTTGTTGCGGCAGCCTTGTTAGGGAGCGGATCATGTTGGTCCAGACGTCTGGCCGATTGAGAATTGTGGAGACCTTCAGAGGGTGTGTATGTGTTGCAGGAGCGACGCGTCGGTGCACGTGGCGGAGAACATATTCAGTCGCGCTAGCACGTGGGCCCCCACTACGAGATCTAACCTTGGAATAGCTGACAATCTTTTACGTCTCTGCCAGCACTAATCCTACCGAGCTTGTGAATATTGAACCATGATGTGAATTGGATGCGGTATCCATGAAACCTGTGTAACGCTGGCAAATCCTGACCTCACGTCTCGACTGGAGTGCTTGTACCGGCGACACCATGAATGATTCACACTCTGCAGCGCATATCCCCTCTGGTTTCGTGATCAAAGATTTCTCTACCCTGCCGCCAAAGACTCGCTCAACAGTCGCAGACAAAGTGGCCAAACTTGAGAGAAAGGTCTTCCCATCAATCGAGCACTTCAACTACGACGTGGAACTTAAGAAAAAGAACACTGGACTACTCTTGGTCTTCAAAGAAGATGACACGGATAAACTTATTGCATATCTCGTCTATCAACGGATGAAGAGATTAGCGTGGCTGCACAAACTTTGTGTGATCGAGCAAGAAAGAGGAAGAGGTATCGGAAAGGCCTTGATTTACTACCTTCGCCATCAAATGGGAAAAGGAGGCTGCAACAAGATCTTCTTATGGGTGGACGAAAGTCGCGGGCATGCCAGAGCGTTGTATGAGTTGTGCGGCTTTCAACAGTCTGAATGCCGTCCTGACTACTACGGTCCTGGGCGGACAGCACTCAAGCTTGAACTGGAGCTCGGAGACTGAACGAATACATGGAAACTCGAAACCAGCCCTTGCGATGTCGACTATCGCAATTTGCTAAGAAGATCGTCAGGATGAGAATAGTAATATTCCTACGAGGAGTGGAGAAGGGTCACGATGCGGGACCGTTCTCCAGACAGGATTTGATAGCTTGACTCCAGCCTTCGATCGCTGGCGGACCATCTAAAGTTCGACTCTACTGTGTCATCATCTCGGACAGGTCACCCGCTAGATTTCCTGCCCGAGTCTGACAGGAGACGAGGCGAAAATGCGAACGCACACTGTGGCGTTTTGATGAACAGCCCGGCTCTCGAGAGGAGAAGAATATGTGGTGATCTCAAGGGCCGTAAGAGAAAGTCTCAGAAGAGCAGCATTTGGTTCAGCTGTAGAAGTAGAAGTAGGTGTTAAGATGCACAAGGCAAGGGTTGTCAAATTTGTATTCAAGATCTATGATGGCAAGATTCATTCATTTGCTTCGTTATTCTGTCGTCCATATCTCCAGAAAAAGCTATGTAGCAACGTTGTCTATCCCAGGTTATCGTCCGCCTACTCCGTACGCCGAGTTATGCAAGTTTGGTCCATGTCTTAAGTCCCTACAACTGGATATCGTTGTTAAGCAATCGCACCTCCTCACCCGGTTTGAACGCCGGGAGACCAATGTATGGACATCCGTCGCACCTGAAAGCATCGCCCAGTGCGCAGTTTCCACAACTGCCAACCTTTCCCTGCACTGTGAAGTCCACTTCGGCGAGGTCATCGGCGTCCAACTTTAGGGAGTTGAGCGCTTTATCGGCGGAGGAGCGTTTAGCGGCGTCTTCGGCTTCAATCTTCTCTTTCATACCGCAGGTACAGTCTTTGCAGGCGCGTCGTCGCTTGCCGGGTTTGGGCTGGCATTCGAGTGCTGGAATCATGTTAGCAGAGTGACGCGAGGTAGCAAGGAAGAAGTGACGCACGTTGAATGACTGGACGTGCCAGATCTGCCTCTGTAATGAGGTCGTCCTCGTCGATTAGGTCGTCGTCTTCGCCTGTGATTATTGGGTCGTCAAGATCATCACTGAAATCGACAAAGCCTACACCGACTGGCTTGACGGGCTCAGCCTGAGGCTGGTTGCGCTTGCGGTTGAGGTTGAGCTGGACGGAACCGTCTGGGTTGACTGTATGGTTCGCACCATTTGTGCCGTTTGTGCCGTTTGCCTTCTTGCCAAACTTCAGCGGTATCGACACAGGCTCCTCTTGCTCAGGCTTGGTCATGCCGTCCGCGGTCTCTGTGAGCCCTGCCAGGATAGCCTCGGTCTTTTCTGCGCCTTGGAATGGACCCGCCTGACTTTTGAGTACTCCTCCAACCTTCAATGCGCTGACAACTTTGTTCATGACATCGCGTGCCAATAGTTTGTGGCTTTCGCGCGTGGTACCGTCGGCGTCGGCGAGGAGGAGGACAACATCGTATGTGGAGGCGGGGAGATTGACCAGACCAGCAGCGATGCGATCAAGCATTTGCAGGTCGGTCGAATTGCGGTCGTGGATTTCGTAGACTTGGTCAAGTCGCTCTGGGTGCGCCGCAATCGACGGCGTGCCGATCAGAAGGCATCGCGGGGCCATGGTGGGGTATCGTGGCACGGTACGTTGATGGAGGGGCAAGTTGGTGTCGCAAAATCAAAGCGTAAAGGCAGAGTCACTACGAGAAGAGCGAGAAAGGTTGCGAGAAGAAAGGAGTGTAGTAATTGAGAGGCGCGCCCGGGAAACTTTTCTGAAGACAGTCTGCGGCCTCGGAGGCGGAGAAAGCGCTGCTGACGAAATCAGGGAGAAATCCGCGGCGATTGGTCATACGACGAAGGGCTGATTGCGAGCTGACCGAACACGTGATTTTGAGTCAAGCGGAATGGCGGCATATGTATGAGTGGATCCTAGGGCGCATTAGCGTGCAAGGAGCATACATCCAGAATCCGGGGTAATCATCGTTGCTGTGAAGCCATGGAACCATGAATAGGCCGTAGTAGACACAGTATAGTACTGACGCGTCGTTGGCACGATATGCATCTTGAAATTGAGAGCTCCAAACGTTTGTGCATGGCTGTGCTGCTGTGTCGAAAAGATTGCAGCCCACGCGACACCGACCGGCGAGATCCAGGTACCGGTGACGTACCTTCCCCCTCGTTCCTTCCCTACATAGCTCTGGAACCGAAGATCCGACTGATAACAATAAGTGTCAAGTTACTCTATACAGGTAGAAGCTATGAGCACAATTGAAGTAGTCGGAGCTGGGCAGCTGAAGGCGAACCTTCTAGAGGCGCATCTTTACAGGGTCCTATCTTGGCCGCGATATAAAGGCAGGAGCTCCTCCCAGCTTCCCCGCCTTTGCCCAAGCCGCGTGAGATGCACTGCACCAGCCTTTGACAAACAAACCAACAACCATCGTCCCTGCTAACATCGTCGTTGCTAACATCTTGCTGCCACTTGTCCACAGATCTGCAAGGTACGCATTCTGGCCGCGTTGCTTCACGCAAGAAGACGCCATCGGGTCAAAGCTTCCATCACGAGACCATGTACTGACCCGCTTGAGCTTCTTACAGTCGCAGTAGCTTCGAGCCCGCCGCTCCTGTCTACTTCAACTCACGTTGACTCTCTTCCATCACCATTACAACAAACCCACATTCAATCCATCCACTACAGATACCAAACAGTAAGTACTGCCTTTTGTCTCATGTCTCACGCACCTACCTTTGTTGTATTGAGCATGTAACGCCTGGAACCACCTCAATGGCTCATCGGCGTAAGACGGCAGGAGAACTACGGGACAACATCAACATGTTCGTACGTCATGCTGACTTCCATAGTGACTCGCTCCCACAAGTTCACTGACCGTGACCATGCCGGCATTGCTGATGGCACTGCCGAGCGTGAAACGAGACTTCCCAAGTTCTTTGGCAAGTCTGGCCATGCTGACACCGACCCTACCAAGACGAAGAAGGGTGGTAGTGGCAAGGGCAATTGGTGAGTACAGTCAACTTGCTTCCTTTCGATGCCTAGCAAGAGCATCATGTTCTGCAAAATAACCTAGCTCTGCCTATCACGATACTCTTATATCTCAGAGTCAGTGACTGACCACACCTTCACAGGGGCGCCGCCGGCGATGAGGTCGAAGACATCAGGCCCAACATGGCCTACGCCCGTCGTCGAAGCAACTCGTCCACCCACAACATGAAGGACTTCAAAACCAAGTTCGAGACCATTGAGACCGAGCCCGTCTTTGAAGAGGAGATCCACGGTCCTCTCGGCGAAGAGCTCGAAAAGCAGAGCACCACCTCAACCGAGAACAGCATTGCTGAGGAGGAACACGACAAGAAGATGTAAAGGCCAAGTGCGGAGCCTACGGGCAGTGGCATGGCTCCAAGTTGACTGTGTGGCCGGCTTGTGGGAAAACCTTGCCCGCCTTGAGCAATTTGATAGAGCAGATATGAGCGTCTTTCCAGGCTGATATGCTCGCACATGTACCATGTTTCTCTGGGAGGTATTTTACGTTCTCTAGTACAGCCATGAGTGGTCAGGAGAACATTCATGGTTGGAAGCTGATGACGACGGCGCTTTTGGACAACTGTAATGAGTATGATAAACGAGATACGAAATAAAACATAAATCGAATGACTGTTCTGCCTGACGTGTATAGTTGAAAGATGGTGCTCTGCTCTAAATCGGCTGGGATGGGCTATGTGCGTACAAGACTAAAGAAATCAGTAAACACTTGCACTGATGCTCCTGTGTGCAGCCTCTGTTGTTGTGTGAGTACATAGCGTAGAGTGTGCAGTAGGCAGAGAGTTCGTAATGGTACTCGACAGCCCTGGGGGTGAAACCAGGTTGCTAAACTCCGGCTCTAGCGTGGCACGGATCCCTGCCCATCATCAAAGCTTCGATGCATTCTTAGTTGTCACCCACAACACAGCGAAGAGCCAACACCATCACCGGCGCGCTCTATCGCGTTTCCAATCAGCCCTAATACTTCCTTCATCATGTTTTCACCAGAGGCTTCTTCGCTCGCGAGCATACGGAGCGCGCGCACACGGCGGCGCCAGCGCAACGACTCGGACGGATCTCAGCAACAACAACGAAGCCGCAAGCGAAGCAAACTCAACAACGAGACGTTCAAGGACCCGGCCGGTGCCAACGGAAATGGCAGTGCCCTGATGAATGGTCACGCTGTGCAGAGCGTAGGCGACTCAGCCGTCCTGGTGGATATGCCTCTAGTTGTTCGCGAGAAGAAGACAGCGCCAAAGCGCGCGCTCAAGGAGGACACCGGCACATACCTTGTGCGTAGATACGCATCTGTACAGTCTATTCACTGCTAACACGAGACTGTAGACCAAGAACGCAAACTACAGCGTCAAGAAACTGCCCGGCTTCCCGTCAGCGCTCCTCCGCCCGTCGAGTACGTCTTCACGTCGCCCAACTCGATGCGCGCTTGCTAACATACATGACTAGCCCCGATATATGCAACCGCCCTCCCGTCCGCCGGCCTCGCACTTGCCCTGACCTCAGATCGCGCCCTTGTCTGGGACTACAGCGCCCCCAACGGCCCTACAAAGGTCGTCTCTCTAAACCTGAACTTCGGCCTACGCCAAGGTGAACCTCTTCCACTGGGCGCAATCGTTCGTAACGGTCCCACCAACGACTACGGTATCGTCGCGCTCGCACCTTCGACAGGCAAGATTAGCTTCTGGGAGAACATCGACAGCGCAGACGCCCGAAGCCTATACCCCCAGCGCCAGCAGGGAGTAGAAGGATTTGTCAAGTTGTACTCCGGAGAAACCATAACTGGTCTGGTCGATGTGGAGCACGCAGGCTATGTCCTGGTCTTCAGCAGTGGTAGACTCGCCCAGCTGACCTTACGCGATTCCCAGGGTAGACCAAGCATTGCGACGACAGTCTTGAGCGCACCAAATGGCTCGGGAGGCAGCTTCTTCAGCTTCAAAGGCCTTCTCGGAGGATCGATCCGGAAGACTATCGCCTCAGTCAAGGCGCGGACATCGCAGTCCAAGGGCCATATGGAGGTCATCTCGGCGACACGAAACGGCCTCTTCCAGACCTGGGACTTGAGCTGGTCAGGACAAAACAACCACCAACGAGACGTAGACGTACACGAGGCGATCCTTTCGGCAGTTCAAGCAGACACCGTCCCAGAAGTACGGAACCAGCAGGACGTGCAAGTGCTGGATTTCGCCATTATGGACCAGCAACAGGGCCAGGACGCTGTGAATCTTTTGGTTTTGGTGGCGCTGTCTGGCCGGGATTCGTTGGAATACTTCCTTGTTGAGGTGGATCTGTCAAGGACTGCTGGTACGATCAGCAGGGCGATACCAGTCCGCAACTTTCACCAGAACCAGTTACCGAAGGAGCCTACCGGAACGCTTCTTCTGCCACAGCCCGGACACACAGCCTATGTCCAGTTTCCAGGAGCAGTGTTCATCGCATCCCTCGCTCAGCCAGAGGAAAGCCCTGAAGCACAGCTGCTTGCAGATTCAGGACGTTCTAGTCTGCCCTTCCAGGATACCGTTTACTTCCGGCCAGAAGTGACACTCGCGGGCAACGCATTGGAGACCTCATTACGAAAGGACAGAAAATCGACAGCCCTAATCTTTGTCCAACAATTCGGTCTTTTACAAATCGGCGCATTGCCCCCCACGACCGACGATCAGGATAGGGAGCGTGTGAAGGTTACCGCACGCAGCAAACTCGAGCAAGCCACCTTCTTCAGCACGATACCCGCAAACATCATAGACTTTTCTGTCAAGTCACGATTCTCATTCGCCGAGGAGGAGACTGCCGAAGCTGCTCTTACGATCAGCGCTGGTATCTTAAGCTCAGCGTACGACTATCTCGAGAAGGGTGTTTCTAACTTGGACGACCAATTCCAGCAACGCTTGTTTGCTCTCCGAACCCTGATCTCACAGCTACAAACCGAATATCCTCCCGTGGATTTTCAGACAAGGTGGCGGCTCTTGTGGCATGCAGAGAAGCTCGCAGCTTCACACAAACTTTGGCTCTGGTACCAGGATAAGCTGCATGACCAACAAGCTCATCCGGATGCTTTTCCCGAGAAGATTTTGATGGGCGATATTGTCAGAGCTCTGAATGAACGCTACAAGACTGCCATTGATTCCGAGCTCGGCGAAAACGACACGATTAGACAATTCTTCGTCAAGGACGTTGACAGTCTCCACACACTAATACCCTGGGGCTGGTTCTACCTGCGGACGTTCTATATGAAGGAGGGCCTAAAGCAAACCCCGTCCATCATGCAGAGGCTCAGTGAGGGCACTGATGTCATGCTTGTCACTCTGGAAACAGCGTTCGAATTCCGGCAAGCAAACGTAGAGGTATATGGTCTCGACCCCGATTGTCTGGACGACGGCATCCTGAAGTCGGCACATGGCTATGACATGCTACCTCAGTTCTGGACTTCATCTCACAACATTGTCAGCTCTATTCGTAGCCTTATCGACGTTGGCCGCAACCTTGCTGTGGACAACTATGAGGAAGGCGACCAAGAGATCCTGGCGCAGAAGATCGGCAAGGATAACCCTCGTTTGGTGAAGCTAGGATGTCAGACTCACATCGAACGGTTCCAGTGGGCTCTTGCACAAAGCGATGAAAAGACCCGAGCCATGGGGCGTAGTCTCAAGGACGAGTGGAACAACAACGTCCGGCCGTCTCACATCATGGGTCTGATGGAGATTGGACTACCCACCGAAGGAATGGAGCTGGCTGAGCAGTACCGTGACATGTCCACACTTGTCAATCTGATCTGGGAAGAGTCGAACTGGCTAGAGACAGAGAAAGCCAACACTCGCAGCAAGATGGAGCAGGCCGAAAGCACAGTCAAGCTGAACCGGATAAAAGAGCGTATTGCACGCTACTTTGACGTCTATGGCGACGAATGGGCTGGAGCGTTCTACTCAAAGTACATCAACGAGAACCAAGCAGGGCAGCTTTTCATGAAGGAGTATCTCAACCAGCCGGCACTCACCAAGTTCTTGCGAGCTGAGCCATCGCGTGCCCGGCTCGGATGGATCAATGAAGTCTGTGGTGAGAAGGATTACGAGGCTGCTGCTGAACTTCTTTTCGAGGCTGGCTCAAAACAGGAAACCAATGCGTGGTGTCAGCGCGTTGAGCTCTCCATGGCCAAGCTCGCTCTGCTCTGCAAGCAGGAAGCAAAGCATGACGATGACCAGCCGGCGGTTGATCCGCGCAGAGAGAAGCCAAAGGCATTGAAGATGCGTGAAGCCATGTACCACAGCATCGATCAACAACTGGAGTACACAAAGATACAGGAGGAGGTCTATGAGCGGCTACTACCCATCATCACTGGAGCTCTGGACGAGGACTCTGCGGTGGAACTTCTCATGGCTGAGTTTGGTCAGGGCCGTCTGAGGGATCGACCAGCACACCAGGCGATTCTAAAGGAGGGGTTTGAGAACCTGGTCCACCACAAGGTCATCGATCCTGCCCTCATGATTGACATACTCACTCTCATGAACGCAGATGACAGCGAAGAAGGCGTTACTTTGCTCGGAAACGATGAGTTCATCTACGCTTTTAGGGTCCTGCTTGTCAACTGGAACAACATCCACCGGACGACTCGTGATGGCCTATTGAAGCTTTTCTGGAAGCGACTGTGTATCAAGGACAACTGGGCAGCGATCAACACTACTAAGGAAGTTACTGATGCCGCGATAAACGATGTGTTGCAAGATACAATCATGGCATGGACATTCCGGACCTTGAGCGGCATGTGCAGTAAGTTGATGTCCACTACCAGATATTGATCAATGATTAACATGTTATAGTCAACAACCCTTTCGTCAGGACGCTATGGCCGAAGAACCTTCGCGATCTTCTAGGCGCAGGAGGAACACATGGAGAACTCTGTGTTCGCTTTGCCGCCGAAGATCTTCGCAACCCGATCATCAAGGACAATCTCCTGGACGACGACATCCTTCGCGAGCAGGTCAACAAGAACAGGCTCACGGATTGGTTCAAGGCAGCTTGGACAGCGGGCAAGACGATGTACGCACGCGAGCTGAAGCAGCAGGGTAAGCCCACTCCTCAAGACGTGGCTGCAGCCCCTCAAATTGCGGAGGAAGATGCGGAGGACGAGGCGGACCAGGAAGCTGCTGGGTCCGAGACGTTTGATGGTGACGATGAGAGTGCACAGCAGGAGCAAGACGTGGTGATGCAGGATTCATGATAAGTTGCGGTCGTATTCGGGGGTTTATCGGGCGCAGTGCATTCAAGGCAATCAGGACAGGCGCGCATCAAGCATTGGGCACGGCGTTTCAAAACCTGTACTCTGCAGACGCGGACAGAGTTTATTTTCTTCTTTGTTATCAAGTGTATTTGTAGCGATGGGTTTCAAGGTTTACCGACGACAGGCGTCACATGTCTTGACCGTGTCAGTGCATGACTAGAGCAGGACGACAGAGTTGGCACCAAATGTATAAAGAGTCACTATTTGGGTAATGCATGAACGGGTAGGGGAGAAACATGAATAGTGACTTGCATAACCGCCTATCGGCAAGGGTCTCGACTGTGTTCTGTGGAGTCAAGCGACGACAAGCGTTCATTTGCGCGGTGGATACCCAGCCGTGTCAAGGAACCGAGTGTGGCGCGAGCGAGAGGGCGCGGATGTGGACGCGCACCAATGGCTGACTCGGTAACAGCCGTTGGACGATGGAGGCCGGGTTGTGAAAAAGTGGTGCTGCAAGTTGAGATGAGAGATGGCAGATGGCAATAGATAACATGTCAAAGAGGCTTGCGCCTGCTTTGCTTGTTCCTTGTCACACCAAGACCGTTGGCCACGCCGTGAGGCGAGCGAAGCCACCGAATTGACGTAGGCGGCATGCATGAACAGCAAGAGGCACAGCAGCGGTGAGGCTGGACAAAACACACGACACGCAAATGCATCCTAGTCCGGAGTGATGCAGCTCTACAGCAGCAAAGATCGTCACGTGTGCTGAGTCGGCTGTCGATGCACGATGCGATGGCGATGACGAAAGGCAGAAACTTCGCTTTGCTCGATGGCAATCACGATTCCGCAGACCAGGCTTCCCCTTCGCGCACACGCGCTTGTTGGCTGGGAAAGGATGTGTCGAATTTCCGAGGGCGTCCCAGGGCTGCTTTTGCTCGGAGGATGGGCTAGTTTGGGTGTGGACTGTGCATGCAGGTACAACAACAACTGACAGCTCAGTGGGGAAAGGACGACGCCTGCGCCGCTGCGAGGGGGGGAGGCAGGATGAATGAATAGACAATCGAACCGCTGCATTGGGACCGCGCCCACGACGACGGCCAGCGTGCACTTCTTGGACTCTATGCAGGCGGGTGTAAATAGCTCAGTCGTTGCAGTCCCGTGCTCGCAGTGAATTGGGTGCTACTAACAGTCTAGCGAAGAGTCGGTTGATAGGTTGCTAGTGCACGCCCCATGCTCAGTCGCTCCTTCCCCTTCTCCACGTCTTTTCCGCGTCGAGAGTCGGTCGCTCTTTCTTCACTATACGTCCCTGTCCTGCGTCCCTTCCTCTGACCTCTCCGTCTCCTCGCAGCTGCTTCGTTGCAGCACAAGTCGCTTCCGACTCGACTTCGACCCGCCCGTCTCAGGAACGCCGAGTCGCGTTCTTCGCCGGTTGCATAGCCCCCAAGCCTCGTTACCGGAGTACGGCTGCGGCCCTGTCTCGCTGCTGTCACAACCACCAAGCCACGCACCCTCCCTACCACTACTCGTCTCCCACATTCTCTCCAGGCGACCGCCAGTAACGACGCAATCGACACCATGGCGAGCGGCAGTACGAGTTCCAACGTCGTCGGCGTGCACTACCGCGTCGGCAAGAAGATCGGCGAGGGCAGCTTCGGCGTCATCTTCGAGGGCACCAACCTGCTCAACCAGCAGCAGGTCGCCATCAAGTTCGAGCCGCGCAAGAGCGATGCTCCCCAATTGCGCGACGAGTACCGCACATACAAGATCCTCGTGGGCTGCCGTGAGTGCTGACTTTCCTTGCCCCTTTACCGCTTGTTTTGTTGAACCTTCTCAACACCAACGTCTATATATATCTCCGCACACCCGACAACCATCGTGACTAACCTGAACCTGTGCAGCCGGGATCCCTAATGTCTATTATTTTGGCCAAGAAGGCCTCCACAACATTCTGGTCATCGACCTGCTCGGTCCCAGTTTGGAGGACCTGTTCGACCATTGCAACAGGAAGTTCTCCATCAAGACTGTTGTCATGGTAGCCAAGCAAATGGTATGTCCCGACACCACCGTCGCGCTCTCACCTGCTCACACCTCATCTAGCTGTCACGGGTTCAGACCATCCACGAGAAGAACCTCATCTACCGCGACATCAAGCCCGACAACTTCCTTATCGGCCGCCCCGGCTCCAAGAGCGCCAATGTCATCCACGTCGTCGACTTTGGTATGGCGAAGCAGTACCGTGACCCCAAGACGAAGCAGCACATCCCGTACAGAGAACGCAAGTCGCTCTCTGGTACCGCTCGTTACATGAGTATCAACACCCATCTTGGGCGCGAGCAATCCCGTCGCGACGATCTCGAGGCACTTGGCCACGTCTTTATGTACTTCCTGCGAGGTGGACTGCCATGGCAAGGCCTCAAGGCTGCTACCAACAAGCAGAAGTACGAGAAGATTGGTGAGAAGAAGCAGACCACTCCCATCAAGGACCTGTGCGATGGCTTCCCTGGTATGTCACGCGTCTCTCCCGTTCTTCGTTCATACTAACAATGCGTAGAGGAATTCAACAAGTACCTCAGCTACGTCCGGAACCTCGGCTTCGAGGACACACCCGACTACGACTACCTACGGGAGCTGTTTACTCAGGCTCTCAAGAGCACCGGAGAGGTCGAAGACGGCGAGTACGACTGGATGAAGCTGAACAACGGCAAGGGCTGGGAGGTCCTCAAGTCCCACCCATCTGCTGCGCAGGCGATGCACCACTCAAACGCCAACCCCAACTCGTCCATGGCTGTGAATATGCAAGGCCAGCAACACAGGCAACAAAAGACGCACTTGCCCATTGACCACCATCGTCTTAACGAGCCTCTGCCAAAGCCCGGAGCGACCCGTGCTCAGCCCGGACGAAGCCCACGGGAGAACATGAACCGTGATTCGCAGGTGAAGCGAAAGAGCATGGGCGAGCTTGCACCGCCCGAGGGCGCTTCGACGCAGGCCCAGTTCCAACACAGCCAGCCCAACCTTGCGCAGAACAACCGCGCTGCTCCTGCCAGCAGTCCAAACCCGCAGCAACAGAGGCAACCGTCTGCCGAGAAGCCCAGCTTCATGCAAAAACTGGCGAATGCTCTGTGCTGCGGCGCAAGCAAGTAGTAATCGCGGTCCTCAAGCTTGGTTTTCTTCCCTTTGCGTTGCATCACGGAGTCCGTTCTTTGAGCGATAGTATTCCCTCGGTCACGTTTTCTTCCTGTATAGGTATCTTGTAATGATTGATAGACGGGATCGAAAATCTCCTTCAACGGTAATAGTTACGACGACCGATCGACCGAACCGCCTCCCACACCAGCCTGGATTCCTCATCAGCGCCGAAAAAACATCATCACCATCACCATCTCCTTCATCTCTGCGCTCCCGCGTCGTTGCGAGACTACATCAGCTGGCAGTACATGTGGGAGTGATTTCCATTGGGCGCTTGCGGCGTTGCGGTGTGCTTGGGGAGGCTCGCACTTTGTGGCATCTCATTTTCATTATTCATTTTTTTGGCACGAGGAAAATATAGCATGTAAAGGAGTCTCTTCTGAAGGCGCGGCCGAGGCCTACTGTATCGCGTGTACAGGGCGACAGACGGGCCTCGCTTTAGTTCAGGTAGAGTAGTTGGGCGAATAGACGCACTCACTACGCCGAAATTTCATTTTTGTACCTCAGTGACGTTTGCCATACTCAGCATCATGTCTGCGTGTCCCTGGCCAGTAGCTGCGATCTAGCCGTTGAGGGGATCAAGTGATCATCTCAAGGCAGGAGCTATGGCCTCTTTGCGCATGCGATTGGAAGGTGCCGTAACAGCGGCAATCCATGACTCCATAGCTGTGCGTACCTATAGCGCAAGAACTTGACTTGTAGCCTGGTTACTCTTGAATCTCTTCGAAACCCTTCGCGCAATCTCTTGAATAAGTTTCCCAGCCCATTTTGATATTTTTTTTCTCCGACATACCAATATTCCCACACGTGAGGTACCTGCGCAGGGTCCAACGCGACTTCCCAACAACGAAATTAAGCTCGTCCACTCAGCCCGGGGCCTGCGAATCCATCACCCGCACCCTCTCCTACTACCGGCTCATCGATCAGCGGCGCCTTGCGAAAGTTGCGATGGCGTCGGGACGCGATGTGCGCGATATGCTCGGGCTGCCTGCTGCCGGCGGTGATGCGCCAAAGGCAGTAGGTCCAGCAGCAGTGGCGGCGCAGACACAGAAGCGGTCAAAGCCTGCAGGAGGGAGCAGGAAGATACGTACGTTTGGCAGTCCTTACGTCTTTCCTTGGGAAATCGTCAAAAGGTCGAGACTGACTCTCATTCGACCAGAGGGCGTTGCGCGCGAGGTTGCTGCGCTATATGGCGAACGCCCACCGCCTGTCGCCGTCTACGAGGAGAAGAAGGCGTACCGGGCAAAGAGACAGAGCACAGGGCCGGCGAAGCGATGGTATGTAAGGGTGAGGGACCTGCGGAAGATTGGCTAATTCGCGTCTCTAGGATACAACAGCCGTTTACGAACCCAGCGCGCAGCGATGGCCTCGTTCTGAAGCATTGGCGGCGCAAGCCGACGACCGCACCGCCCGTACAAGAAGCCGACGACGCGATGATGCAGGAAAGCGATACCGCCGACAACTACCTCGAACTGTGCGCCGACTACGCCAAATATGACATCAAGGTAGACATGCCCGGCTTCACAGATGAGGAATACGACCAGTACCTACGGAGTGACGACTGGAGCCGCGAGGAAACAGACTACCTATTCGAGGTAGTGAGAGACTACTCGTACCGCTGGCCTGTGATATGGGATCGCTATGACTACAGGCCATCGCAACCACATCCACTAGAAACTGCCAACGGCGAGGTCCAAGCACTAGCCACGATGCCTTTTGCGCCGTCCAAGAAGCGATCACTGGAGGACCTGAAGGCCCGCTTCTACGATATTTCGGCCAAACTCATGAAGCAACGTATACCAGAAGTCTCAATGGACGCCGACCAGTACAGTTTATACGAGATGCTTACAAAGTTCGACCCGGTTATGGAACGGAATCGAAAGATGCTGGCCACGGCACTCATCAACCGCACAATGGACGAGGTCAAAGAGGAAGAGTTCCTACTCACAGAACTCCAACGCATCAACATGGCCGCCAACCGACTCGATGCTGAGCGCGAGGAACTTCGGGCACGATTGGACGCACCGCCCCAGAACCAGGCAGTCTCCGCAGGGCTACAGGCCTTTACATCATCACAAGCCCTCCAGGCTCTCTTCCAGCAGCTATTTCAGCAGGATCGCAGCAAGAAACGCGCTTCGGGCGGCGGGACAGGACCTGGCCGCCTCAGCCTCTCCGCAAACGACATGGTACACACACCCGGCTCGGCACAACAACAACTCTCAGCAGCAAATCGACGGCAAAGTATGGCACAGAACCAACAACCCACGGCGCAAACGCCTGTTAAGCACCTCTCTCCACATCAAGAACATCGTTTCAACGTATCAACACATGACAGACTTACGTCGGGTGTTACGTTTGGTTCCGACAAGCTGCTCAAGATGCGACAAGCAAAGAGTAACGTTCAGACCCAAAAGATCGGCCAAATGCTGGCGGCACTGGGCGTCAGTGATATCGTCAGCATTCCAACGAGTAAGGTCGGTGAGGTGTTTGAGAATCTTGTCACGAAGGTCAGCAAATTACTCGACGTACGCAAAGTTCGCGAGAAGGAGGAGGGAGAATGCAAGGTTCTGCTTGCTATGAAAGCTCGGCGAAATGAAAACGGTGAAGCAGAAGGAGAAGGTCAATTGAAACACGAAGTTCCTGACTCGCAACAAACGCCAGGCGGGGAAGTCGATGCCGATGGGGAGAATGACGACGACGAAGATGAGGACGATGTCAATAAAAACTATGGGGACGACGCCGAGGCAAATAGGGATGATCAAGAAGACGACAACGACGGTGATAATCCTGATGATGACGCCGAGGGCGAGGAAGATGAGGGAGGCTTTAATGGGGAAGACGACGATGGAGATGTAGATGCAGAGGGGGAGGATGATAGTAAACAGCAGTCAAGAGCGACTAGTCAAGGTGCATCGGGACAAGGCCATAAGAGAAGTGCAAGCGTGTTTTCTCAAGGCAGCGAGGTTAGCAGTAAGAGGGCGAGGAAGTGAGTACCTGACTAGGGGTTTGGTTTATCTTTTTGCTAGCATAGCGATGGCGTTGGATGGCAAGAAAGGGAAACGTTGGGATATGATATGGGATTGGATATAGATATCGACCATTGGCATTGTTATCCACGATGCGTTATCCGTCATATACGCACGAATGTACAACATCCTCCTACTTATTGAGTACCCGTGTCATGTCATATCTTCGCCTTTGGCTCCCCCTCCTGCTCCAGCCTCGCAAACAATGGCGCGTTTCTCCCCCCACGAAACAGATCTAACATCTCCTTACCCATCCACGCCTGTCTGCTCTTCGCCAAGCCTTTCTCCAAATCCGCAAATCGATCTGCTTGGATGAATATGCCCGCACCATTGGCCTTGGTCCCCTCGTTCAACAACCAGCACACCGCCAAAGCAACAGCTTCCGGTCTGTTAATCGGTACACCCGCTTTCGCCATCTCCTTCGCATATACATCCGGCTCCATAGCCAAGACGCTGTTGTTCGCCGTCAAAATAGGCGTGACCGTTATCGCAGGCGCAACAACCGATATGCTAATGTCTAGTTTCGCACACTCTTGCTTTAACGCTCGCATCAAGCCCACAACACCATGTTTCGCCGCGGAATACAATGGTGCTCCTGCTGAAGCTAGATAGCCTGCCAGACTGGCTGTTAACACAATTGAACCCCCGTCTTTTCCATTCTTCCGCAAGTAGTGGATAGCGAGTTTCGTTGTATCGGCCGCGGCATCCATATCCAGGGTCAACGTTCTCCGATCTGGCTCAGCGAGTTTCCCATCACTATCGAGCGTGTCGTTGAAGAATTGGTCGCCTTGTTCGGCGATTCCTGCGTTGACGAAGACGCAGTCTATACGGCCGAAGCGTTTGTGTGCTGCTTCAAAACCAGCGCGTTGGGAGACCCAGGAGGTGATGTCACACTCGTGGAATAGAAGATTCGAGGAGGGATGGTTGAAGGATTTGGGCGGGGGTCGCAGGTCAAGCACGACGAGGTTGTGGGAGGGGTTCAGGGTTGAGAGGAGGGTTGATGTTGCCAGACCAATGCCGGAAGATCCTCCCGTTATGAGAATAGTTTTTGGTGTTGACTTTAGGGTGTGGAGAGCGGATATTGAGGGTGAGAAGAGGGCCATGACGGTGGTGGGTTCGACTGCCTGTATGAAGATGGAGGCGGACTTCACTTGATGTAGCAATACAGAGAAGGTAGATTTTCTAGTAGACTTGAGAGATTGTGAGGGGGTTGGAAATGGGACTAGAACTGTTGATGTAGTCAATCGGCTGCAGATGATTCGATTACCTAGGTTATACGTTGTAGCTGCGGGGTTGGCCTCGGAGGTGTCTCAAAGAGGTGGAATTACCTGTATCCTCGCCGCTGACTCGGCCAGGGGAAACAAGAGGAGGAGTCAATTGCCTACGCATGTATTCAACGGTATGTAATAGAGTACTACATCCTTTTCGCGCTACCATGGTAGTGCTCCAGGCCTGTCATGCACAATCCGCGTCAGCGTTGGTCTCTAGCATTTTTGAATTGCGTTTCGAAAACCAGGCCTCTATCAGAGAACGCTGTCGGGTTACCGGTATTAGTCCTGAAGCCAGAGACATGTGCGAGTCAGACTGGTGCGTGGTGTCTACGCGAAAGGAGGGAGCGATGCACGTGTCGGAGGTCTAACCGCTTTCAGAACGTACACCTGGAGTTTCGCGATCTCGAGCATTCGAGCTTCAAGATTCCCAAGTGACCAGCTCACCCAACACTCACCTCCGCGCTACAGCCAGTTTTCCGCAGGGTAACAGAATCGCAGATATGTGGAAACCAACATTACTGCTCGCCGCTGCGCTGGCGGTCCCGTCACAAGCGCTACACTTCTTCATGGACGGTGCAGTCCAGAAGTGCTTCTACGAGGAATTGCCCAAGGATACACTGGTCGTTGGTACGAGACATACTCGCAAATGAGTCTCTTGGCCTAGAAGCGCCACAAGACCAGCGCAAGAAACACGACTAACATGACCAGGCCACTACCACGCCGAAGCATGGGACGACGCAACCAAATCCTACCAAACCAAGCCCGACGTCGGCGTCTTCGTTACCGTGGAAGAGACATTCGATAGCAACCACCGCATTGTTGCCCAACGAGGTAGCTCCGAGGGCCGCTTCACTTTCAGCGCTGCCGACAGCGGCCAACATAGGATCTGCGTGACACCCCAGAATGTACCGAGCAGTGGTGGCGGCTGGCTGAGCTCCGGCGTGCACGGCACAGTCAAGTTCACACTGGACATGGCGATTGGCGAGACCAGCAGGATCGAGAGCACGGACAAGGACAAGGTCGAGACGCTGGTGCAGAAGGTCAGGGACCTGAACTCGAGGTTGCAGGACGTCAGGAGGGAACAGGTCTTCCAAAGAGTGAGTCGGACACCTACGGATCGCTGCATAGGTGCAAGAATGCTGGCTAACACATTCTGCAGGAGCGCGAAGCCGAATTCCGCGACCAGTCCGAGCATACCAACTCCCGTGTCGTTCGCTGGACCCTCATCCAACTTGTAATTCTGGGTGTTACTTGCGTTTGGCAACTATCGCACTTGCGAGCTTTCTTCATCAAGCAGAAGCTTACCTAGAGCCGTCGAAATGACCGTCGTGTTTCGTTTCTGGCGCGTACAAAGACATGAGGGACAAGTTTGGAGGAAAAGGCATGTTTTACCTTGGTTCGGTGAAATGCTCTTGCATCTGTATTGCAGAATACGGCGTTGGAACAACGGGTTGGTGGGGTTAGCGTTTGTGATTTTGAACGAGGCATAGCATCACACAAAGTACGTGTTGAATAGGTATGCGCTTTTACTGTCTGCCTCTTTCATTAGTCCCGTATATGCCCAGTTCAAGTATATGTAGAAGGAAGCGCCTGTAGGAGCATTCTCGTCAATGCTGACAGGAAGTAGGGACGTATCTGTTGTATCGAGATAGTCGGAAGTGCTGGTGTGTACGAATCAATACCAATAACGTATCTATTATCAGCACATTACCATCCCCCGCACTTGTTCACTATCGGCATATTCCAGTACCGGCAAGTTTCACTAACAGCATCAGATCCAATGCTGGTACTGCTAGGTAAAGGACATTACCATACTGCCAAACCGGTTCGGCACTAACACGTTGTCACTGTTCAAAACAAGTCTTGTCGACAGCCTGACTCAGACAGCAACTACCGTCGGACTCGATCAGCATTGAAGAACGGAGTCTTGGTTCCGGTAATTTATGCGTCCACAAATCTGGCTGAGTATCGTCGACAGTGCCGGCTTACAATAAGATTGGACAATGCCCACAGTGCTATTTCTGTCATCCCAAGCAGAACGATGGCAGTGTTAACTCAACATTTGGGTAGAACGGCCTCTCCCGAACCCGTCTTTCCGTTCCTCGTCTGCTGCAAGCGACTATGCGCTTCGCCCCCATCCAGCCTCGCATGGTTGAGCCTTGCTCCTTCCGGAACTAAACCAATCATACGACTTGGTAGTTGTCTAGTGGTTGTCAATTTTAGACTCAAATTCCTTCAGTTAACCTCATCTGAACGCTGATGACGCTAGAATCCTACGCTTCATTGTTTTTTGTGAGATAACGAGCTGCCCCCAAATGCGAAATGCTGCTGGCGAGAGCATAGTCTGTTGAAGTCAGCCTGACCTCAGGCTGTTGACAACCATCAGGGTACCATAAAGAGGCCTACTAGATACACAAACGATTCTCGTCGATCCTATATGAAAGGTCTGTGCATGTACCCACGACAATCATGAACTCGACACTGGTCCACGGCTGGGTTGCTTCGCCAAATGAACGCAGTACAATCGATATCGTCTGGAGCTGCATTGTCACCATGTTTTTATGCAGTTGGTCTGTTCTGTTTCTGAACGTGCCCGATAAACACGACTTCCGGTCATATCTAGCAACAAAGCTCTCATGGGTTGCCTTCACCATCTTCTTTCCCGAGATCCTAGCGTCATTCGCCCAGGTCCAGTTTCTCTCCGCCCGAGACTCGGTGTCCGCATTCACCAAACTCGGGTATCATGATTGGTCCATGACACATGCGTTCTTCTCCGACATGGGAGGCTTCATGCTTGACCCTCCAGATTACCCGCAATTTCCCGTCAACGCCCATCAGATTCACTACCTTGTCGAGCACGGCTTCATCGATTTCCCCAGTATTCAACGAGACACCATCCAGGACAGGAACAAAGCAGACGCTTTCGTCCGTATCCTTACATCCATCCAAATACTTTGGTTCGCCCTTCAATGTATCGGCCGCGCCATTCAACATTTGCATGTCTCTATGCTCGAGCTGGACGTTGTTGCTATCGTGTTGTGCACGTTTCCAACGTTTTACTTCTGGTTCCACAAGCCGTTGGACGTTGATACGACAGTGACTCTATATCTCGAAGGATCACTGGAACTGAAAGATGTACTGGTACTAGCAGAGGGTGTAGCCAAGCGACCTTTCGAACTCACTCCGCTCGACTTCATTAATCCGCCTCCAGATCCCTATCAGATTCTTGACCCTATCATGTGGGGCCTTGAGCACTTGCTTCGACTTGGTACAAACTCTGCAAATGTGCCAATCACACGATTCAAGAACACGTCGCGGATGAATCCTGGGAAAGTGACGGTATCCGAGTGGGCGATCTCAACGATCATATCACTCACGTTCATTTGTATACACTTCATCGCGTGGGACTTCAACTTTCCATCACCATTAGAAAGAAACCTCTCGCGAAGTGCCTTTGTCCTACTCCTCGGAACTGGCTTTACCTTTGGTAACCTTTGGTTCCTGACTATGTGGCAACTACCGAACCTTTGTCGTCAATTAGGGATACCGCAAGTTGACACTGTAACACAACTAATGTACCAGATACATCCGATTCTTCAGTACGCTCTAACTATCCCACACTTTGGGGCATATGGACTTGCGCGGTTACTCATCATCATAGAAGGTTTTGCTAGTCTAAGAGCGCTTCCTGCAAGTAGCTTTCGTGGAGTAGAGTGGTCCGACATGTTTCCTCACATCTAAGAAGGGCGGACCATGATGCAGCGCCAGAGCGATGTCACATCTCGATCATAACTATTCTGTCGTGCCAGTCCGCCTGTGGTTCACTTACTGAGCGCAGGAGATGGGCTACCTGGGGTAACATATTGTTATTAGGACTCTCAACCAACCCAAAAATATGAATACACCACTAGTGTTGTTGCGAAAGCTGTAATGAGATGTTTCAGTTGCTCAAGTATCACTCCATGCCATGCCAGCTCCGAATAAACGAAAACTCGACAAGAACCCTTGTAACATGCATGTAAGATCAATGTATTATTCAATATGCGTTTGAGCATCATTTTTATGTTATTCTGAAGGATGCTAGCACTCTCACATCCAGCCTTCCCAACAGCGCTAGGGTACGGTTTGAGTCTATTCTTCAGTGAGTACTCGTTCCTAAGACAGTATGGTTCTAAGTAGACTACTTTGAGATAAGATGTACCACAAAGATTGTTAAGTAACATGGCAGCATGACACCAGAAATGCTCAAGGTCTTCCTGACAACTAGATCGGAACTTTGAGATGTCATCTGTAACAGAATCGTGGCACGTTCAACAACTCGTCTAAAACCTTGATATTACCGCGGACATGATGGCTCACACGCCATAAGACTTTGTACTCATCAGCCACAGCCCAAAGACTAACCATTGCCATCAATGCCAACCCGTCTCAGATCCTCAGAACCCATCCAATAATACCGCATGCGCGTGATTTTTCCGTGGAACAGCCGTCCACGCGCACATCCCAGAACAATCGCTGGAACCAATCACCTGGAACCACAAATGAGCAACGCATCATGATCGGCAGACCTTGTCGCGATAACCTGCTTCTAGTGACTTCACTATTTTTTCACATCAGTGGAACCTTATGCTTAACCTTGCATCGATAGCTGTAGCCAAGAAAGACTTGCGCCGCGGAAGTTCGGATTGACATGGAGACAGATTGTGGATAAAGGTCGTCATTCGCGTGGAGCTGGGAAAGGATATCCGGTTGACATTGCCGGCGATCCTCAAGCGTATGTACCGTGTTAGAAAGCAATAGCCGTGTACGCATCATTGGGCGAGTGTGTTTAATCCTTCGTTGCGGTAGACGTCGAGAAGCTATCAGCGACTTGCATGAAACCGTTCTTGTCAAGCTTTTCTTCATAGCTGACATCGGTTGAAACTGCTTAGATGGACCGGATTTCGACCGAACTCTATACTTTTAAAAAAAACGACGTCAATAGCTTCCTACGCCAAACACTAGGAGTCGACGATGATGAGAACTTGAGTTTGGAACACAAGCCAATGAAACTCTATTGCAACTTCGGATGCCGTTCCCGTCAAAACTGCAAACGCGCCGTTGCTATCGATAGAATGCACTGCGCGATCCCCAGCGCTCTTTCTCAGCCCTATATGACGCCATACACTCGTACTGCATCGGCGGCGGTTCCCCATCATGCTAAATCCACCAAACGTCTGTCCCACATCCATCTCGGATCCGACGGGACAGCAGTAACAAGACAGGGGCCAACGCACCTCTCATTTCGTGCAAGCCAGGTCCGACATTTTTCGGTGGAGCCACGGATTGGGTGAAAGTGTACCGAGGAGAGACCACACCACTATGCAAACTATGTGCTGATATGCAGGCTGTCAAATTCGGCACTGCAGCTTCTGGTAAATGGCCGGTAAATCAATGATACCATTGCGATACTCGCCATATCTACATTTTCTCCCGCGGGCGTCACGCAACCATGGAATCATGGATCAATTGCTGCTGCATTGGGTACACACACCACCATCGCTATCCCCGTGCCTCGGTCCGATTAAATTCTTTTCTTATGCTTTGAAATCCAACATCCTCGTCCACATTGTAGAAGGAAAAATGAAGGCTTCTAGAACGAAAACTTGTTCCATTTGATAGGAGATGCGTGTGTTGGAAAAAGAGAGGCTGAGCCCGCTAGCGTGGGCGGTAATGGGCCCAGATCTCGCGGCGCTCTCACCCTTGTGTGCAGTGCAGCCGTGCAGCTGTACGTGCTTTTGCTTGTGGGATGCATAGCCGACGATGTTACACTTGGAACAAGAGGCTGAATCTAGAGCATGAGACTTGAAGTGTTTTCAGCTTGGGTTGTTCAAGCTGTAGTGTGAGGAGACGTACGATGCTTGCAGTAGGTGGTTGTCAGAGTGTGTCATTTGAGTTGAGACCGGCGTTACCGTCGCTGTGTACAACATGCATGGTGGCAGCTCAACAAGCGTTACCGGTTAATGACAGCAAACGAGGCTTCATGTGAAAAGATGGTCTGAAAGAAGAATACTTTTTGACGTTGATATTACTTTGGGGTATCATTGCTAGCTACAATGGATTCAATACATCCGCTTGTCCGTCCCTCCTCTTCTGCCATAACGTTGCTCAGTACGGTGTGTAGACAAAAAAGTGGCTCCGACAATCTGAGGAATAGTGAAGTGTTGTACAGCATTAATGGTGCTCCAAATGGAGTCAGGTATATCGAGAATAATGAAATCTAATCCCAAGCGTAACCAAAGCCCCTGGAGCCGGCGATGCCGTCTATGAAATCATCGCTTTTTTGTGCACATACGAAAGCCATCTCTTTCATCAAATCATCGTCCCATGCGCCCGCTTGTTGGTCGCTGAAAAATCGTATCCGCAAAAACGTACTAGGAGATCAAAGAGGAATACTGTACAGTCGAAAGGAAATAGCCCAAAACACCGAATGATTCAGTTCCGACCAGCGACAACTGAATGCGATGCAACCAGGTGCGTGACCACAGATGTGAGAGACGCGGGAATAAGCACCACTCTTGGCTGTGTCCAAGACAATGAAGACACGCTTGCTGTCGAAGTCCAGATCGGCAAAGAAGAATCTTCGTGCGTAGCATTTCATCCGTGTGGTCAGCTGCGTGCCATAGAACAGTCGCGGCTGTTCTGGCGTCTGCAGAGCGGAGATGATGCAGGGGCACGGCTTCCGCGGAAATCGGTGAACATTGCGCATTAAGCTATGCTCAGTCGTGGTTACCTCCACGCCTGCGGTGCTTTCCGGGGAAGTCAACCTCGGGATGCACGACGCGCATATGGCGTGTCAATGCGTCATTGCGCGAGAAAGTCTTTTCCTCGACGCAAAGTGCGCAGCGAACCTTTTGCTTGCGCGCGTTGTGTATTGTGTCCTCGTGACGTGTGAGGTCATAAGGGCGGGAAAATACAGTGTTGCAAGGCTTGCCAGTCGTGGGGTTGATGCGCTCACACTTGTGGGGTCCCGCTTGCGAATTACGCTCCAAAATAGCCGCCGACGTCATAGCCGTGCTGAGATTGGCACTTCGATGACCCTCACGCTTATGCTTCTGAAGCTTTTGTGGGGTCTCGAAACGCTGGGAGCAGCCATGGTACGTGCATGAGTAGGTACCAGACTCAGCAGTGGTAGATGTTGGCTTTGTCATGTAGCGGTCGGACAAGACGCTGTTCTGGCTGCCGTTCGGTGGCTCAGCTTCGCTTGCGCTAGATTCCATCGACGTCAAGTGTGCAGGAAACTCGGGTGTCTGGTCGACGGCCGACGCCATAGTGTTGGGTGTTGATCGGTACTGAGATGGCGCGTTCATAGGCAAACTGTGCATGTTCCCTATTGATGGTGTGGCGAAGTTGAAGCTGGACGACTGTTGTAATGATGGAGCGGTTGCAGTAGAGAAGTTTGGTGAGAATTGTGGTGTTGCCCAACTGTCGCGACCGTAGGACTGTGATGAGGATGGTGCGTCGAAGCTGGATTGAGTAGCAGTCCTATATTGTTCGCCACCATTGTATTGGCCGTCGTACTCGCTAGCGCCACTGTCCGGGAACAGTGGAACCTTTGACTCTTCGTCCGATTCCCGGAAGTCCAGTAGGGCATCCTTGGGGGAGATGGTCTTTGGCTCGGAATCATCGCTCGATTGCATCTGAGACTTCATAGCATAAGCCGCGTCAGCCTGGCGATTTTGCTCACGTGCAGCAATAGCAGTGTTCATGGGTGAGTTGAACGAGTTGCTCGGCTGACGGTAAGGTGAGCTCTTGCGGAAGGGTGAGTCACTTCTTGAGGCAGTGCTGCTTGGCGACTGTGAGCGCGCGTACTGTGCTGCCTGGAGCGCTCGCTGTACGTTTTCGTTGGCGTTGCTGCGGTATGGCGAGAGCAACGAAGACTGTGCTGGCTTTGATTGCGACACTGTTTGGGTGACGGCACTGGGCTCGTAGAAGCCAGTGTCGGCAGCAATGTCGGTGTATGTCCTTTCGAACTTGGGTACAGGGCGCATATCTGGTTCATCGTAAGCACAGAACTGATTGAAGAGCCAGGAGTCTATCCTGCAGAGGTCCTCACCATTGGCAGGCGTCTTGAAGTCCATGTCGTCCTGTGCTGTGTGTGGCGTAGCAGGAGAGTCGTGACCGTAACTTGATACTGATTGCCCAGTGGAGTGCGCGTAGTCTGGTACGTCATCACTCTGGTCCATGAGCGCTTGCTTCATCGACATATGGGCTGACATGGTGTGGTCCATGTTTGGGGCAAAGTTGCTGCTGAAGTTGTTGCCGTTCATGAAGGAGTCTTGAGTAGGTGTTTGAGAGGGTGTAGGCAGATGGTTCTGGAACGACCTTTTGGATATGTCAGCCATGTTCAATGAGTCAGCCAGCGCGGTTTCGTGCGAAGGCGAATATTCAGGGCGAGCGACGTACTGGTAGCCTGATGAAGGTCCGACGGCTTGGTACTGCGAGGCACTTGAGCCTACAGAAGACGACGATGAGGCGCGCTGGTGGCCGCGGTTGCGGTTCTGGTTCTGCGAAGGTGTCTGGAGAGATTGACCTTGCACGTTACCATAGTTGTTCCAGGACTCGAGTCCAGTGTTGGTGTTGTTGGCCGAAAGCATCGGGGGTTGTGCGAAGCCCTGAGGAAGCTGTGGTGTTGGTGTCGACTGCTGAATGCGGATGGCCGGGTTTGCGAAATCGGTATATGCGCTCGTCATGTACAGGTTGGGTGCACTACCAGACGAAGTGCCGTAAATTTGTTGCTGAGACTCGACGTAGTCGTTGAGGAGCTTCTGGTCGTAGAGGTGTTGTGCAGCGAATTGCTGGGGTAGTTGTTGAAAGGAGGAATGTGAAGATGGTGGTGACGGTATGGTTGAAAGGTGGTGACGTTGTGTGGGTAGCGCTAACATAATGGTCGGGAGGAAAAGTAAGGGACCAGCGTGGGTGGCAAGTTACTTATACTAGTGGGCTACCGGCCGATGACTCGGGTAGTCTTCGCCGATTTGAGTGAAAGACCACTTGATGAGGTGATCTAGGATGGCAGTCGGTGGAAGACTGTCGAACAAAGCTGTGTTTGCGTCGGCTATGCTCGGATTATCGGAATTAAGAGCCTTCGTGCGTGTCGTATGAAATTGCAAATTGCTGAGCGATAGTTTCAACGGCTTGGGCTGCTGAGAATACGCGGATTCGGTTTCCTTTCATACCTCATCCTATGACGCAACGTTGGAACCCAGGTTGTGTTGCTTTGCAGGGGTATATACGCTAGGGATACGCCAACGCGCAAGAGCGGCGCGATCGACACCACCCTCACACACCCTGCATACGGCCGCCGCGGGCCCTGTCCGACCGAAGGCTGTGCAAACCCCGGCAGACGAGATCCTACCATACAGAGTTTTCCACATGCACTCGGATAGCAGCCGAGATAGCTTCACTCAACGTCCATGAGCTGCTCCCAAAATACCGAGCAATCGCCTGTATGCATCCAGGCGATCTCCGCAGGCATGCACTCCACGTGAAACGGAGCCCTGCGAACCGAACCGTTATTCATCGCTGTGGCCGTCCGCTTAGTCTGTAGTCGACGTGTAGCCTGTAGGCCACTGTGCGACGGACCATCTCCAGGCGTCTGGCTGTGGTGATACGGCCGTGTCTGGTCCAACAGCTGGCCGCTTCTCGCAGGGACTACAACGTTCCGAGACGGGCTGAACAGCATCGTTTACATGCCGAGCTACTCGACAACGCATAGTGGATTACGAATACTGCTGGATAGTAACAGATGGAGTACGCGAAAGCACCAGCCACACCTCTGGCCAGCGCCTGTATTGGTCACATGTTTGTCCGCGTGACTCACAGACAGTCACTGCCATTTGAGCATTGGCCTCAAGACCACGATATGATAGTGCTTTCAGCTTGTGTCTGTCGGCACGTGAGACCATATGGCCTCGTTTGCAGACAACCGTCAATAGCTCTACCCCATACTCTATACTATTGATAGCTGGATCTGGTGGCCAAACGGCTCCCGAGGACCACTCTGCTGGCTAGCACAATGCACATCTCTTGATGAGATGCTGAAACTGGAGATCGATCCACGAACCAATAAACTGGGATACGCACATACCAGCTGCAATACTACTGGATCAAGCCAGACTACCATCTATTCTGCAGATGGAAGCTACACTTCCGTTTCGGCACTGGCACCATCCTCTACTCAACAACGGCACTGCCGTGCAACATCCCTACAGGTCGAGTACAGCCAAGATCACACAAGGAAAACTCTTCACCAAAACTCTCCTTGCACAGGTGTGCTGAAAAACGACATATGCAACGTGTTGCAGGCATCCTGTGGAGTTGCATAGTAACCCTAAACCAACGTGGCATCGCATCGAACGCCCCGAATGGGCAAGATCGGTGGGGAAATACTCGGATATGCAGGGACTCTTGCGCCACTGTGTGGCAGTGCCAGCCCTACCGTATTCACGGGTAATGTAACTCGTCGCTTGCTCCGAGATCTGGACCCTTATGCATCCATCGAGAGCACTAGCCACATTTCTAAGCCGGTGCGCGACCATCCGAGGCTTCTGTAGCATTCTGAAGCCACATTTCGAATACTTTTTTTTTCTGTGATTCGCATACTGATTAGATGTTGTGTCTTTTCTGTCGCTTTCGTGTTGCGTCCCCCTCCGTCGGACCGAACAAATGCTATTTCTTCGCTTACGACAATAATGACATCATCTCCCCGAAGTTTCCTCAGCATCTTTTCTTCGCATTCCATCCAAAACGACTGCCGTGCAGAACTCCTGCTTTACGCTTCTATTTTTGCGAAGCAATACGTCTCCAATGAATATCCTTTCCCTGACGTCTTAGTTGACGTTCTGCTGGTCATTGAAACTGCCCATCACTTCTCGAAGGTCGCTCAATACGGTCATGGATCGCCAACGGCTGAGCGGGCACCATCCCTAGCCTTTCTGCCCGCCAATCCGCGAGCGCGGGATGATGAGACCCTGCGTCGGCTTGATTTCGACAAAGTTTCTGCCGGTCCACCTGCTTCCATCGGCAACATGACTGTCGATCATGACGCCTGAGGCACGATAGTCGCGTGTCTTACGTTCTCCACTCACAGCGCAGTTGTGACATACTAAACGCACCGATCAATACACTGTACATCTTCCACTATCGATATTAATGCTGGCTCAAGTATTATAGTGTTCCTCTTTTCTTATCAATACTCCATCTGCCGGGATGAGAAATTTTCAACTTCTGCACGCATATGCAGGGCACCTGTCTACCCGATGTTCTGCCGCCCAACGTTTCTTTTGGGTTTGTAGGGCTTGGAAATGTAACAGGGCGTTGACCGATTCCGGTTTTGCTCACCATGGCATTTCAGAACTTGGTTTCCAACGTCATCTGTCATGCACGCAGTTACAGCCGCTCTCCTGACTGTTGCATCACCTCGATAATTGTTTCTTTGGCCATGAACACATGCAACTCAATTCAGTGGATTCTGCGACGCCCAATGCTACGATACGGGGTTCATCCGGTCGTTCGGCCGGTCGAGCTGGTGATCAGCCGAGTCCGATCTCACCACACCATACGCTGACTGCATTCTCCGCATTCTGTTGGTCCTCAACACTCAAAAGCACTTTTACTTCCCTTTTCGTGATCCGGTGGCATCATCTCGGCCGTATTTTGAACGATTTTGCGCCGAGCATTTAAGCGCGAAGACGCGCGGAGTTGCGCTATCTCCGGGACCCCATACGATTGCAAATTATCCAGCTGTTACTCAGCGCTGACCGAGCACGAATCCTGTCGTTATGCCAGTCGGCTGTTTGTCGTTGCTCCGAAGTAAACCCATACGTGCTGCATACGGGAATCCTATAAATCGTCGGCGTAAAATAGCCGGTGCAGGCAGCTAGTATATATTACGAGCGTCTTGCGAGGCTGATGTTTACAAGTGGTTAGATCGTGATAAAATAGGCAACGGTTTATGTACTGAACACGAGTTCCTATACGAGTGGGTGTTCGCACGCTAAGCCCTCTGTCCGTGGGCTGCCCTTCTCAGATCTTGCTCTCGCTAATCTGTGATCAGTAGTGTATCTCCACATGGCAACACTGTCAGCTTGGGGGCCGCGTAGGCTTTGGCCACCCTGCATGTCAGCCTCGCAAGCCTCCACGTTGCTTCGATGTAAGCTTTTGGGCCGTAAACTTTTGCCTTTCGGCGAAAACATACCGTGCAACGGTCATCCACGTACACACGTATACATGAGCTTTAGCGTTGATCTTATTTGGATCTTGGTATTCGTTCTAGTCTTATCAACTTTGCCAAACAGTCTTGGATGTAGAGCGCCCTTTCGTAAACTACTTCGCAGCCTCGAGTGACTCTGCAATATGCTTTCGTTCATTAGGATTACCTTACCGCCCGTACAATTTCAATCAGTTCCTCCTCCTCTACCTAGGTAGTCTCATTACCATCTCTTTGAATCTGGAACGATCCAAATGAAACTCTTGTCTCCCCCAAACTGCACATAGATATTGCTTAACTTCAATCTTTTGGAGCAACACTGTGACGCCCATAAACTTGTTGTCAAGTAGTAGCACTCGTCGAAACATGGAGCTTCACGCATTCAAGTGCAGCGAACCACCAAAACATCCAAAACCTACACATAACAGGACCTCAGCCCTCAAAAACGCGCAAAATTAAGATCGCAAGAGTTGAAGACGTATGTGCAGTGGTTTGTTGGCTTCTATAGGATTTACGGGTCGTTCCGGCTTTTGCGGCTTCTGCGCATTTTGCGGGTTTTGACCTAGGCACGATATAAACCACGAGAATAGAAGCACTCGAAGCAGAACCACTATCATTTACGATTCCATGTATCTCAAAAACACGCAATCATATCATCTTTCTCTGCCAGCAAGCTCAACCCTCGACCTTTTCTTCTGACAGCATGGCCCCATTAAGCGAAGTGATAAAGATGCTCGTAGGCCAAGCATTTGGTAGGACTTGGGTTCCGGAAACCAATCTGAAGGAGAAAACAATCGTTGTGACAGGTGCGAATACCGGTCTTGGTCTGGAATGTGCGAAGCACTTGTACGTGGGTTCCCGCATCAAAAAACCATTGTAACTGACTTCAAGATCTGCAGAGCTCGCAAAAACGCAGCTACCATCATTCTCGCTTGTCGCGACACGAAGAAAGGCCAAGCTGCCGTAGAAACGATCTATCGAGATACCTCTTGCACAGGCCACACCAATATCGAAGTCTGGGAACTAGACCTTGCCAATTACCAATCTGTACTAGCTTTTGGTGAGCGAGTTCGCACTCAACTTCCCCGTCTCGATGCGTTCATAGCGAATGCTGGCATGGAATTGCAAGAGTTCAGGAAGGCAGAAGATCTCGAGATACACTTGACCGTCAACGTTGTATCAACCTTCCTTGGCGCCATTGCCGTCCTTCCCAAGCTCCAGGAAACAGCCAAGACGCATGATGTGCAGACTTCATTGACGTTCTGTGGCTCAATGTATCACATCTTTGGTCCGGATGATGAGTTTGAAGCTGGCTTACCGGATGACAAAGACATGTTCGAAGAGCTTAGCAACCCTGTGAGGACGGACATCATCTGGCGCTATGCCTTGAGCAAGCTAATGGACCACCTTTGCTTCCATGAACTCACCAAAACGCTCTCGGAAAGTGCGACAGACTATTCCCAGGTGGTAGTGAACCTCATCAACCCAGGGTGGTGTGGTACTGAGCTGTCGCGCGCCAAACCACATCCCTTTGGAGAGCGAGTAGCTTTTGCGTTGATGGGCTGGACTGCTGAGAAAGGGAGTCGCGCCTATGTTCATGCAATAGTGGTGGGCAAGGAAAGTCATGGAAAGTACCTATCGGAGTGTCAAGTCAAGCAAGAGTCTCAGTTTGTACAGAGTGAAAGGGGTCGACACATTCAAGAGAAGGTATGGAAAGACTTGGTGAGCAGATTTGGCAAGATTTCTCCCGAGATTATGAGCTTCATTGGCTAGTATGGGTTCATATTTTATGAGCATGTATCGCAGCGAAGACATGTAATTAAGGTGGCGAGAAGTTGATGTCTCGGACGAAGTTATCCCACGCCAGCCACGGTGTCTCGTTTCCGTCTTCGTTATCGTTGTATTGAGGTCTGACATGATCTTCCAGACCTAAGAAAGGCACATTCAAATCATCTTCGTTCATACCCCAGTTTGAGAGATCAAACAAGTCATTGTTGGAAGTAGAAGAGCAGGTCTGCTCTGTCACAATCGGTACAGGAAAAACTGTCTCTGTTCCGATCGCGAGATTCTTGTTCCCAGCAGTATCTGGAGTCTTTCTCAATCTCTGTACCCGTCGCATTAGCTTCGCGATGGGCTTCCACAGCAGTCCAGACTCTGAATCCGCTACTAGTCGCGCATAATGCCGGAAACTTTGTGTTGCGATAATGTATGATCGGTCAGATGACGGTTCTTGAGGTCGTACCATCAGTTCCGCAAGCAAGACCGCAAGTGCATGCCATTGCACCCAGTTCTTCCAAGCCCAAGGCTGGAGCTCGACCGGAATAGGCTGGAGGTGCTGCTCAAGGACCTCGGTCGCGGATTTCATGATATCGAAGTCATCCCACGGAGGGACAATATTGTGTGGTTGTCTATAGGGTGGTCTTCGAGCCAGGAGTTGCATACTGACAATAATCTTTTGAGCAGACATTCTTCGGAGCATCTCCAGCGGGCTATCATAGATATGAACATTGGTTTTTTCGCTCAGGATAGACGTCTTAAATTCGTTTAGCAGCCCCACCTTCTTAGTCCACTGTTCCCACCCATTTTGGACGCCATCTGAGATCTCGTACAATCTCCGTTGACATATCATTGCTTCATAGATCATGGCAGTATGCGACATTTCGGTAGGATACTGCAGGGAGGGTTGAAGTACCTTGTCTGTTGGGTGCATATCATCATCGTTGATGTTTAGTGGAGGTGCTCGGAAGGAGATAGAAGGCAGGATAGGGATCGTACCGCGATCTAAGGCTGAATGGGTATCAAGGATCCCGATTGCAAAGAATAAGCGCTGACGTAATTGGAGATCGAATGGCGAAAAGTCTTTTGGGTCTTCCTCTCCAAGTCTCAACAGAGTAGCAGCACGCACGGCAACCGCAACAAGCGTCCATGTGTAGGCGCCGCTACAGCATGTCCTTAATCCTACCTAAGCCCTCTCGTCAGCTTTCACGTATGTATCAGGAGCAGACCTTCGCGGAGATTGACGCACAAGATACACTACGAAAGTTTGTAGTGTAAAGACGTCTGGGCTTTGTAGTAGGTTCGATCGGACAAGCAATTCCTCTACAGCAGAGCGATAGTGTTGAAGCATATCTGATCTTTCGCCCAAGCCCATCACTTTTGCTTCACTATCGGTGATAGTGCATAGTGACATGAAATATATAGCGAACTCGAACATACGCGTGGAGAAAGGAGGCGAGACATCCTGAGGCTGTGTATGACTCGCTCTAATGACTGATAACACCGTCGGCCAGTGAGTCATCTTATATACACTGTCTACTCGATAATGGTATAGATGAAGCAGTGTTTCCCGTACGTCCGGCGAGGGATTATCATAGCGAATGGCATAGCTCTTTGACCATTGAGGAAATAGTATCGCGTTTGTCGAGCATGTGTCTCCGGCAGCCTTGTCTGTGACCTCAACGTCATGTGTATTTGCTTCATCTTCAGCATTGTCCTCTAACGCCTCTCGCAACCCGTGAACTTCGCTGGAGAGGGCATTCCAGAAATCCGGCGCTACGAAGTCAGCGATCTTCTCACTAGCTACACCCACAAGCCCATCGTTTCTCAAATTGCCAAGAATTGGAATTCGGTCTGATGCGATACCCTGACTTGCTGTTTGCTTGGACTGCTGCTCTAGGAGAATCTCTATTCGCGCAACGCGTGCCGCAAGGTCCCTATTCGAAGCCAATCCCTTTGCTGTCTTGCCACGGGGTAGACGCGCCCGTTGTACAGCATGGCAACTGAGGCCTGAATTCCGGCAAGCTGAACATGGAGCGCCTTTATCGCATTTGATCTTTCGTGACTTGCACTGCTGACACGCCAGACGCGGAGGTGGGTTCATGCTCTCGCCCTGACGCTGGACGAATCGATATAGAGAGCACGCGCGAATGCACACTAATGACTAGTCGAGTCAGCATCCTTCACGAACTCATCTTCGGGTGTGAGTATGTTACGTGTGTCAATGTTAAAGAGTCAAGTGTGCTGGGGCGGACGTTATTTCCCACACTGTTATCGCCAGTTCCACAAGGGTCACAGAGGTGCGCCAGCCATCGCGCCTTGCCGCATTCGGCATAGAACTAACATGGGATCTCGAACACACCTTCTCCATTTCCATTACAGCTGGAGCCTTTCACTTTGCGGATTGCATTCGTCCAAGACGCTCGAAGACTACACGGATAGACGAGTCCAAATACTGAGCTTGCTGCCTGTCTTGCGTCTCGTACAACGCTAGCCACCCGGGCTACCCCATAGTGCGCCTTCGCCTTCCGCCCTGGCCCAGCCGTGGATGAGCCTCAAGCGCGCCGACTGCTAATCCGCTCCAAAACCGAGTACGATGGTAATCTCCCCTGAATACCCAGGCTTAGAAGTTAAAGTCTGTGTTGGTGGTCAGCAGTTGCATGAGTACGATGACGACGAAAATGCTACACTAAAGACAATCACCAAGTACATAGAAGCGCGCTCAGACTGCAAGTTCGTGGTCGCTGCCACCTTCCGGCCGCCATTTTCGACTCGCTACCATGTCAGAGCGCAACTTTCGATTGATGGGGTCTCTGTGGCTAAAACGTTTTGCGAACGAGAGAAACTCCTCCAAAAACAAATCGAGATGCGTGGACGTCGGTCGCAACGAAATGGAGAATGGATCAAACAAGACTTCTGCTTCGCCAAATTGAACATTGGCAAGTACCAGAAATGGTATGTTTTCGCTCGCTAACAGGATGCGCAGTCGAGGAGGCGCATGGGCCTGTCCCTAGTGCTGCTGTTTTGAAGCAGACTCTCAGTACTAAAGGACGTATCACCATAGCCTTTCAATTCATCGAAAGCTACCAAGATTTGGGACTAGATCTCCGACCACCCAGCAACAGTCGCCATGAACTTGAAGCGCTGAAGGAAATCCCGGAGAAAGCACTCAAGGGTGACGCATTATCACATCAAGCAGTGTAAGTAAACGACGGGTGAAGCGCTACATAGGCAAAGGGCTAAATTTCCAAAGTTTGTCAGCGCCTCGAACATGCCGTGCAGGATCCTTCTCATCTCCCAGAAGACATTATAAGTTCGTAGACCAGGAGCCTTTCGCGACTTTCCACTTCAAATATCGGTCACTTGGTGAGTCCTAATCACGTTCACACCACGGCACTTACTAACATCAATAACTTCTGAGCGAGCCTCAAAGCACTTCGAATTCTTCAAATCACCGAGCCCACTTCTGTTCCTCTGGAAGACAGGCCCGAGGAGGACCTTACCCCAGCGGAGCTGAAAGAGCTACTGCGTCGCGTGCGACAAGTACGTATGCGCTGCAACTTGCTAACACCAGTACTAAAACACGAATAGCGAGAAGCAGAAAGCAAACCTATCAAGCAGGAAGTTGTTACTACTGCTAGAGTCAAGCGCGAAACGACCATTGACGACGAGGATGACGTGATCTATGTGGAGACGCGACAAAGCAAACGTCCACGTATGGATCAGACCGTCATCATGATAGACTGAGAGTGAAACTTGTTTCCGTTCTCATAATGGCGAGATCGATGATAGTATCGGAATATTAAAAGACGGCCCTATTCTGAACTTGTCATGAGGTGGAAGGATATTGTTGCATTGTTGGCACGAGAATACGCGGGCTCTGGCATGATTGATGGACGCTGCCGTATACTGCCAAGGCAGTCCACATTGAGTTACTCTAAGATTCGTATGTATGTACATGTGGTCGATCATACTAAAACATGTCTTTCGTGACAAAGAGGTCATGGTTGTGAGGCCTAGAGATCGAAAGTGTCGCCGAGGCGTGGACGACGATGGCATGCAACTGGATCGAGGACATGCATCAACAATACGGGAGCTTGTACTGGGCGATCGTATCCTCTACAGTTGTTGTACTTGGAGTTAAAGCTCGGAAAATAATCGACGGATTCCATCGACACAGTCGGTGGTAGGAAAGCGCACGATCCGGATAGATTTGTGTTTGACGAATGTCATTTTAGAACGTGGCGAACCTTCGCTCACTCACCTCAATTCGAGTAGCTCCGCTTTAGCCTTTGCTTCACGCTTGCTGTAAGTGTACATTGACCTCTCACCTTCCCTCTCGCCTTCACTGTCACCTCTCTGCTTGCCCCACTTGATGCCATATCTGTGCTCAGCCAGACATCCTGCTACCTTTGCAACCTCTCGCTGCCGAAGCGTTTTACCACGCCGAGAGTGAGCAGCCCACAATATCACCATGGCGATCCATAACGACTATCCCGGTTTGACAGTACAGATCATATGTGGTGGCAAGCCTATTGAGGAACACGTGTATGAAGAAGACGAGGAGCGGGAGGAGCCTAAGACTACGACACGATACATAGAGAGCCAGTCAAACGCGGAGTTCGCGATCAAGACCACCTTCAGGCCACCCCTTGCGCCGCTGGACCTAGATGTGGTCGTCTATCTAGATGGGATCAAAGTGGGCGGACTGATAGTACAAAAGCACCGGATGCTGAATGAAACTTACGTTCAGTCAGCGACCGAGTGGAAAGAAGGCCAGAAATGGCGGGCGTCTAAATTTTTCTTCTCAGACCTCAACGTGGGTAAGTAACTCTTAGTTAAAGTTACTAAACGCCATAGCGCGATGCTGACACATCTCCAGTACAAGAAGATAGTGAGACATTAGCGGAAAAAAATCTGGATGCACTGAGTCAAGTGGGCACAATCTCTGTTGTGATTACCCCAATTCTGAGCATGCTGAGAGAACGAAGACCAAAAGGCCGGAAGCGGGAACTGAAAGAGTTTGGAATGATCTCCGAAGAAACTGTTAAAGATGATGTGCGTTCCCATGTAATAGGGTACGTTCATATCCAGGATTTCATTCAACGAAATGCTAAAGAGACGTGGGGCTTGCACCAGCTCTAGCCATAAAAGCGCCCAATCAGTACAGTGTTAAAAACGCTAAAGAGCCTTTGGTAACATTTCGATTCAAATATCGCTCGATTGGTAAGTCATCACATTTCACCAGCTAGATTGAGACTCACGTCGCAGCAGCCGCACTCAAATCTCTCGGTATAATACCTCGCTCACCAAGCCCTTCTCGAGACACACAACCGAAGTTGGTCAAACAGGATAATGCACTGGAACCATCGCCAGAGTTCTGCCCGGGTAATGCGTTACCAACTGTCAATCTCCAGGCAGAAACTGCTAGTGTCATGCCAGTTTTACTCCAACAAAACTCCCTCAACAATCAAAGCGCGCAGTCCAGTCTTACGAAGAAAGACATAATAATCTTGATCAAGCATTATCGCGGCAGTAGTGATGGTCTAGAGGGCCTCTCAGAGAAGGATCTCGCCATCTTGCTCAGCTCCTACCGGGTGAGTGCTCAAAGAGGCAGATTTGCACTGATGCTAATACGATGCAGGGCGATAAGCCAGATGACACACCCATAAAGCAAGAACCTGTCTTCTCAAAAAGAAGAGTAGGCATCAAGCGTGAGTCGGTTGAGGACAGCGTTGCGCGCGGGCAAGGAAAGAAGCGCAAGATGGAAATCATAGTTTTGGATGACTGAGCCGCATGAATGTTTGAAGGAGAAGCCTCTGCTAGGATACAATCCTTGCACTCATGTGAGGATATGAAAGTTTGGGGATTTGATATCTCATGGTATTCAGTAGCTGAGTAGCAGTTGTCTTTGGGTTCGAAGTCGGAAAAAATACGAACAAATGTCGAAAAGCAGTCAAAGTGAGATTGGAGTAAAATTCCTTTTAATTGAACATGAAGCGTTCTGCGAGAATTGAAATTACCACAAACGACATGTATCTATTCCTAACTTGATCTGGTCTTCATGTGACCTTTTTCAACTCTGCAATCTACCAACGGGCAGCCGTCGCAGTAGGAGTAGCATATGTTTTGCTCCAACTCGCGGTGTACTTTGAGCTCCCCACGATCGTCTGACTCTTGACATCGGCAAACGTCGCGCTCGTAACCACGCTATCGGTTCCGATCCATGTGCTCCATGCAGTCGCTGTTGTGACACCCGTCACAGGTCCGACAGAGACTGCGGTGGTCTCAGGCCAAGCACCAGACCATACAGTAGGTCCAGGGATGACGTAGTCGGTAACGCAGGGAGTGGTGGAGGTTTTTGGCTTCTTCGTCTCAGTAGAGCAGTATACCTGTACCTATTAGCGAACAAACTCAACATCAGAGCCTGGATAGACGAGGGCCTCACGTTGTGTACGACACCAGGATCCTCGTAAGAGTACGCTCCTGGAAAGCTTACACCCTCGGGTAACTCAACCTCGCCGTCGCCTTCGACCAGTATCTGAACGCAGTCGGGATAGAACTGTGCGCCTCTCTTTGGGTTTTGCACGTAGCTCACATCGCCCTCATGTAAGCCAACCATCTCTGCACGAATGATATAATGACCCGCCTTCAGACCTTCAGGTACCCGGACATTCATATGACCAAAGTGTTTCGCAATGTCGCTTGTAGTACTCCATTTGCCAGCTTGTGGAAAGGGGTTGCTTTCGTATTTTCCGGAGTGCCAAAGCTTGACGAAGGAGTTCTCTGTAGGTGGATCAGGTGAGATATATATGAGCGAAGGACCGTGATGTGAGTTGGCGATCACATCGTCAGTGTCGTTACGTATCTCGTGGTGCCAGTCGAACGTAAGGTTATCTCCAGGCCGAACTTTGATAGTGTCGTGGGCTTGGATATCACCCATGACGTTGCATCGCATGTCAATGGAGTCAAGATCCTTGACAGGCGAGTTGTTGTAGCCGCCTTTGCCATTCTGGCCATTGTACGCAGGAATTCGAACGCCCTTGAACGTGCCTTGATCTACACCGTTGACGAAGACACCCTGAAGGAATTAGTAATGCGACCTGATAAGCTTAGTTCGGAACAAACATACCCAAATGAAAGTATGAGCACACGCCTGACCTGTAAGGAGCGAGAGGAGAAGAGCAGAAATGCGAGCCATGATGCCTGATTCTAGCAATGACTAGACCTAAAAAGCACAGAACACGATGTGTGAAGAACACTACGGACATGGCGAATACATATATATCCAAGTGTCCGATGCTTCATACAGCACGTCGGCAGGTGATGAGGCTAGTGTATTGCAATGCAATATACCCGATCGGCCCCAGATTGTTAATCTATCATGACTTCGGGAACGTCCAAACACAGCTGCAGGTCTGGAGATTCCAGCGGGAACATCGGACGTGTCTCCGTCAGTGTGTTAGTGAAACCGTAGACCGCATTCGATGGTCGGGGTTGACAGATGTGTTGTTATATGGACTACACGAAGCCCAGTTACTTCACTACCATCGGCCGCTTCTAGCAGACTCAATATGGGGACGTTCGCCTAAGTAACAAATTGCTTGAACGCGAACGCGATGGCATGAATGCTTGCTACTGCCAAACGGTATAGCCTGATCGCAAAGGACCGTTGTCATCATGTAACAGTACTTGGACATGTCTCGGTGCGGACTGGGTGATAGTAAGCATGCTATGCAGAGAAGAGACGAGTTCTTATCTCAATTGCGATGTGATTGATCACCTCGAGGCTACAGTCGACAGAAATGTATGTTACTTTCAGCGACTATGGTTATCCATGGGTTATGTAGATGTTGATAAACACATCGCGTAGATGATACGCACTACAGAACAATCGCCTGGAGCCTCTCCCCTAACGAAAGACTCATAGTACTCTTTCAACGCAACGTTGCACATTGATGGATGTGACCTCTGCTGATTCCCAACCTATCAGTATACTCAGAATGAGTTTTCCAGATCGGGCGCCCAGCCATGGGTCTAAATCTCTTCTACGCGCAGCGCGAAAACAGGTTCATTCATTGAAGAAATGGGAACCTGCCGTTAAGTAGTGTTTGGTTGCTGGCGGTGATGAAGAGAAGAAGAGGGAGAGCGAGGAAAATCGCGGTTTTGAGGCTGGCGCAGAGCGGAGCTTCGGTGGCGCTAAGCCTGATCAGGAGCGCTAGGGCAAGAACATCTGGCCGCATCGCCAACTGTGGTATCCACGCATGTTCAAGAGTGTGAGCTCTTAAGACGTTGCAATATCGTGCACTTGTTGCCTTGAGGGAGGGACAGTTGACACATTTCGATTCATTGCTGTATACAATTACAGCTCCACACCCGCGACTGCCACATTTCACACCGCCCCGCCAAATCAATCTCCCATCGTGGGCGCCCTCGGTCCCTCCACCACCAACTCTCTACAGCCCTCCACCACCACCCCAATACCTTCTCGAGTAGCGCGAATAGCCGCAGCTGCCCAGCATGGCCGACTTTGAGACGCTCAAGGATCAGTGGAGCGATATCGAGGACAGGGATGGCGTCCGTCTCAGTTGGAACACGTTCCCCAGCTCGCGCATGGTACGATAGAGAGCCGGTTGTCACCATGGACTCGAGATACTGATTCGGCACACAGGAAGCTTCTCGTCTCGTCGTTCCCATCGGTGCCCTTTACACACCTCTGAAAGAGAAGACGGATACTCCGCTACTCCAGTATGCGCCTGTCGCGTGCAGAGCGCCATGCAAAGCCGTCCTCAACCCCTACTGGTATGCCCTGAGCAGTTTCTGATAGCTGTGCTCGAGCTGACAGTCACGCAGCCAAATTGACATGCGCGCACGCATCTGGATATGCCCCTTTTGTTTGAACCGCAACAATCTTCCCCCGCACTACAAGGACATCTCAGAGCAACAGATACCGCCCGAGCTGCATGCTGGCAGCACCACGATCGAATACCGACTCCCTCAGCCCGTATTGACCCCGCCAATCTTCATTTTCGTTGTAGACACATGCCAGGAGGAGGACAGCTTGAAGGCGCTCAAGGACTCAATCATCATGAGCTTGAGCCTGCTCCCCGCATACGCCCTCGTCGGTCTCATCACATATGGTACAATGGTAGGTATAGGAAGATGACACTAGATGTTCTGTACTGACAGTTGTAGACCCAAGTACACGAGCTGGGCTATACCGAATGCGCCAAGTCGTATGTTTTCCGCGGAAGCAAGGACTATTCCTCCAAGCAAGTCCACGAGATGCTCGGACTTACTCAGATGGCTCCCCGACCTGGTGTCCCCCAGCAGCCTGGCCGACCACCTGTGCCACCCCAGGGTGGTGCTGGCACGCGCTTCATCCTACCCGTGTCGCAATGCGAATTACAATTGACCAACGCTCTCGAGTCGATTCAACGGGATCCTTGGCCTGTCGCGAACGACAAGCGCCCTCTGAGGTGCACCGGTGTGGCACTTAGCGTTGCTGCTGGACTCTTGGAGACAAACTTCTTGAACACTGGCGCCCGTATCATGCTGTTCAGTGGTGGCCCAGCCACCGAGGGCCCAGGTATGGTCGTTGGACCTGAGCTGCGCGAGCCCATCCGATCGCACCACGACATCGATCGCGACAACATCAAATACTATAAGAAGGCCCTGAAGTTTTACGAGGGACTTGCCAAGCGCGTTTCCCACAACGGCCACATTGTAGACATTTTCGCTGGATGTCTGGACCAGGTTGGTCTGCTTGAAATGAGGGGCCTTGCGAACACCACCGGTGGACATATGATTCTGACCGACAGCTTCACGTCGTCCATGTACAAGCAATCCTTTGCGCGAGTGTTCAACAAGGATGCCGATGACAATCTCCTCATGGGCTTTGGCGCCAATTTTGAGGTGTTGACAACAAAGGAGTTGAAGATCACTGGTCTTATTGGACACGCTGTGTCGCTGAACAAGAAGTCTGTCTCCGTTGGTGAGACTGAGTGTGGTATCGGAAACACATGCGCATGGAAGATGTGCGGTATCGATCCTGAGTCTTCTTACGGTATCTACTTCGAAATTGCTAGTCAAGGCGGACCAAACCAGATGCAGGCTGGACAGCAGCAGGCTCTGATTCAGTTCCTTACATACTACCAGCACTCCGCTGGCCAGTACCATCTGAGAGTGACCACTGTCGCCCGCCCTCTGAGTGGTCCTTCCGGTGACCCTGCCATCGCTCAGTCCTTCGACCAAGAAGCTGCTGCCGTCCTCATGTCGAGGATAGCAGTCTTCAAGGCTGAGGTTGACGATGGTCCAGATGTCCTCCGATGGGTTGACCGCATGCTTATCCGATTATGCGCTCGCTTCGCTGAGTACAGGAAAGACGACCCGTCGTCATTCAGGTAAGCATACCTGTATTCCGAGAAGTGGAGTCCTTACTTCTCTTCTGTGTCCATCTGCTTCAATATCGAATACTAACCATTGAACTAGGCTCGAGAAGAACTTCACACTATACCCGCAATTCATGTTCCATCTTCGTCGGTCACAGTTCTTGCAAGTCTTCAACAACTCGCCTGACGAGACCGCTTTCTACCGTCATGTCTTGAACCACGAGGACGTTAGCAACTCCCTGATCATGATTCAGCCAACACTAGACAGCTACGGCTTCGATCACGAAGGCGGCCAGCCCGTGCTGCTCGACTCCAGTTCGATCCAGTCTGAAACTGTCTTGCTGCTTGACACCTTCTTCCACATTCTTATTTTCCATGGCGAAACAATGGCCGAGTGGCG